GCGTTCCCTGCTCTTACATTTAAAAGAAAACAAAAACCTTCAAAAAATTCTTTGTATCTGAATCAATTGAGGCTTTTAAAAATTAGCACAGTAGAAAATATCCCACAAAAGGCCTGCATTAGTCATTCAGGTATTTGATGTGGATAGAGACAGTTTAGCCTACCTCCAAGATAGTTGAAATAAATTACCAGAATAAATCCCAGAATAACCAAGCTTGAAGAAACATGTTATACCATCAGTAATATATTATTATGATTCATTCTATGGTTGTCATTTTTATCCTTTAATAGGATCTGTGGGAATGGCAATCCTCCCAGCTCCCTAAGCAAGTGCTGGAGGGAAGTGTTATAATGGGAACTTGTTAAGATGTGAATTGCACAACAGCCTTGCCGAAATGAAAAAAATGTAACTGCTAAGGAAGAATAGTATTACTAACCAACATCTTCTCCCAGCACCACACCAGTTCATGTCAAGATGCTGCAGTCATGAACCAGAAAGAGAAAAATACTGTAACCCATACAGAAATGATGTGGAAACCCAATAACTAGCAAGGCGGTGTCTTAACTCCCACATTTTGCTTTCACCAATGGATTTGAATAGCCAAACAGACAAAATGAAAAGGGAAAAATCCTCTTAAGACCCTATTACTGAAACAGAATAAATTGCATCATGAATAAAATAGTATCAGGTGGTTCTTCTTCAGAAGGCTATAATGATGCTAGAGTTAAATGACACAAATAACTGGGGATTTGCAATAAAAGCCCATTTTATTAAAGCTGCCAAAAGACTTAGGAGCTTTTAGAGTGCACTGGGGGAACTGGTCAGACTAGGCAGGAGAGCTGAATAGAATCATCATGGAGACATTGCTAAAAGGCAGAGACCAAAAATTTCAGACATATCCAGAAAAACTTTTTTTTTTTTTATGGATTCTTTCTTGCAAATTTGGTTGTTTGAATAGAAATGTCCTGGCTCGTGTTTCAATCTGAATGCAACTGCTCGGAAAAGAATGGCAGGAAGTATTAAAAGTAGTCACTTTCTTAGAACCCTGAAAACAGGAAGGGGTAAGACACAAAACCAGGGCCAGGGGGTTGGTATGCAACCTATGAGGCTATCTGCAGCCACTACAGCACAGGTTTGATTCCCGGCCAGGCAGCTACCTGGGGCAATCTCCCTGGCTGACCAGTATTGAACTCCCACTATTGAGGCTGGGGACAACTTCACAGCACGAGCTCAACCTGCTGCGCCACCGGGGAGGCCCCTCAAACTCAAATTTAGTGTGGAGGCACACAAGAAGTCTTTCAAAAGCTATGGATTGTTTGAATTTACACAAAGTAACTCAAACAATCCATAGCTTTTGTTATTTTAAAGCAATTTTTTAAAAAAGATTTCTTTATTTATACAAGCATTGGGTACAGTCAGAAGTGCTGGAGAGTGGGAGAATTCACCAGAGCCAGAGCGGGGAGCAGAACAGACAGACTGACCGAAGTACACTGCTGAGGGGAGCAGCGGGCAAAGCAGGAGCAGGAGAGGTCTGCGCGCCATGTGGGACCCTCGCCGGCGGCCGGGGATCGAACTGGCGCTGCAGAGGCTGCGGGCAGCTGCGCAGCCCAGCACGCAACCGCCTGCGCCACCAGGGGAGGTCCGCTTTTGTTATTTTAAAGCAATAAAATGCTCCAGGTCAGTGGTTCTCAGACCTTGCTGCACAGTAGGATCACCTGGAGAGCAATGCTCCACCCCAAGTCAAAGAACTGGACTCTAGAGGTGTGGCCCGGATGTACTTTTTTTTTTTTTTTCCCCCTTCTCTATGCTTCTTCTCGTGGTTCTGCTTCTCCCAGATGAACTTTTTAACAGCTCCCAAGGTAATTCTTCTATGAATCCAGGACAGAGGACCATTATGCTTCTATGTTTAGAATCATGTCATGTATTAATTAACAACATTTTTATTTTTCTAAATCCAAAAGTAGTACCTGCACAATGCAGAGAACTGGGAAAAGTATAGAAAAAAAGCAACTTAAAAAAACCCCAAAATCTAAAATTCCATTAATCTTTCAAGTGTTTTTCATTTGAGCCCTTTTTTCTATGAATAGGAAAAAATGTTTTTTAAAAAATACAGTTTAGAGGGCTTCCTGCTGGTGGCGCAGCGGTTGAGAAATAAGGCCAAGAAAGTTCCCAACTCACAGTGACTTCAGAAGTTCATTTGGAGTCAGGATTACAATCTAGGCGCCCTTTCATTTTCTTGCAAAATGAAAAATTTTTTGTGCAAAACTTGAATCCTCAAAACATTAATGTCAAAAAGTATAATTTCAGTCTCCATTTTCATAAAGGACTTATTTCTAAGGATATTCTAATAATATAAAAAATCAAGGTGAGCTTTATAGGTAATACCTATATTCATGTGACTCTTTATTGTAATATTTGCTTTATTGTGGTAGTATGGTAATGAACACACAATGTCTCCTAGATATGCCTGTTAACAGTGAGGATGCCTAGGATAAAGAAATAAATGAACTTGGAATATTCTATTGACGTCAAAGCAATTTTGACATGAATTACAGCTTTAATTTTTTTTTTTTAAGATTTATTTATTTATACAAGAGCTGAGGTGCAGGCCTGATGTGCAGGAGGGTGAGAGAATTTACCAGAGACAGAGCAGGGAGCAGAACAGGTAGACAGACCGAAGACACTGCTGAGCGGAGCAGCGGGCAAGACAGGAGAGGTCTGCCGCGCCATGTGGGAATCTCCCTGGTCCGCAGGGATCGAACCCGCGTTGCAGAGGCTGCTGACAGCTTCACAGCGCGGTGCTCAACCCGCTGTGACACCGGGGAGGCCCTATAGTTTTAAATTTTTGATTGTAAGTAGGGAGTACTTTATTTATTAAGTTTTTTCCTTACATCATTCTAGTCTCCATAGTTCTCCCACCACTGCCACAGTATCACACCATGAACCATCACCATATTCCCTTATGTTCACCCTCCCGTTTTGCCACCCATTCCCACCCCGTCTTTGTTGTATGCCTCAGTTCTTTTATACAAGAGCTGGGGTACAGGCCAGAGGTGCGGGAGGGTGAGAGGATTCACCAGAGCCAGAGCAGGGAACAGAACAGACAAGACTGCTGAGGGGAGCAGTGGGCGTGACAGGAGAGGTCTGCTGTGCCATGTGCGTAGCTCCCTGGCCTGCCGGGAATGGAACCAACCTGCTACGCCATCGGGGAGGCCCCATGTATACCTTAGCTTGCTAGTTTTTACTTTTTCTTGACCTTTTGGTTTCTCTATATTCCACATATAAGTGAGACCATCTCGTATTTATCTTTTTCCTTCTGCCTAACTTTGGTTAACACAATCAGTAGGGAGTACTCTAAAAAAGAAGGAATATATTATTCAGGTAACTGAGGTTTTCAAAGATGTTCCTTTAAATTTATTAAAGAACCGTAAGAAATGCTTAATTAGACAAAATTGCATGAAAACCCGAATAACTGAATACATAACATTTTAAGTATTCCCTTCCAATTTTTACATCTTACTTTATATAAATATAGCATATTCAGTTTTGTATTACATTTACTTTCAATTAATATACTCATAGTCACTAAACATTCATTCAGTACTTTACATGTGCAAGGCAATTGTTTACAGAATCAAAGACAATTAACACATAACTTCTACTCAAGGATGTTAGGGGGGGTTAAAGATCTGTGCTCAGGGGAAAAGAAGAAAACAAGAAAGCAATTTAAAAGCTGGGTCTTCCTATATGAGACAGACAAACATTTTAGGATAGATTGGAAGAGGAAAAGCTTTTTTTTTAATTTCAGCCTTGTTCAGTCTGCTAGGAACACATAATATTTTTAAAATCAGAAAACAAGTGGAGTGGAAATTTTCTCCAGACTACTGTCACTTTCAGGGATCCAAACTCTAGTTGGCCAAGGAGACCCTTTTCACCTTACCTCCAATCACTCTCACGGCAATTTCCCTCGTCCCTTCTCTTGCTACCCTCTCATCCTCCCAGTAACCGCAGCAAAAATAATCCAGTAGCATTTTCAAACTGGCAAATCAAAACATTTAGAAAGCTGGTGGAATGCAAATGCGTGCAGTTTTCCCAGTGGGCATTTAAAATGAAAAGTCCTTAAAAATGTGCTTGCTCTTTGGTCCAGCAACTGCACTTGGAGGAATTTAACTTATGTAAGACGTACAAGGTTGCTCACAGTCACATTGGTTAGAAAAGGGGTGAAAAACAGGAAACAACTTAAATACCCCATATCCAACAATGTTATTGTATGACCTAGATTTACGACTTAATACCAAAGCCAATCGCAGAGGAGAATGTAATTACTTAACATTTAAAAATCTTAGTAAGTGTGACGGGCACGCCATTTAACTTCTTAATAAGCATCGAAATAGGCAGATTATCCAACTTATAGCGGTGAGGGTGAAATACAAAGGACTTCACTTGCCTAAATTCCGATTACAAAGGAGGGAAGCCGGGTTTCCAAAGGCGGCCCTCTAAATCTCGAACCCAGCCACACCCCTTCCACACCACACTGCCTCCGTGTTCTTGTGCTGACCCAGGCTACGACTTCCTCTCGGTGCCACTGAGAATTAAATAATAAACCCACAGTCCCTGGGACGCGGCGGACAAGCAGCACCCGGGAGCGACTCGCTCGAGGTCCTCGCGCCGCGAACCCGGCGTTTCCACGGCGTTTCCACGGCGTTTCCACGGCGTTGTCTGGGCTGCGGCTGAGCGCTGGGCGCCCACTCAGCGGTTCCGGACTTGGATGCATTTGGAACGCGGGGCATAAACCCGCCCCCTGTCCCGTCAGCCCCAACTCAGGGGCCAGGGTGCGCGCGCTTGTCCAGAACCGGGGAGCGCAGCTCCAGGAGCCCCTAAACTCCAGCCGCGGCTCCTCCCCGCGCCTCCAGCTCCAAGCACTCTGCCCCACCGCCCTCCGACTTCCTGCTTCCGCGCGGCCGTGACGTCATGTCCGCGCGCAGGAAGTACGTCACAGAGCGCGACCTGGACGGCGATCTCTCGGGGGCTTTGGAGGCGCTGCTGAGATTGAGCGTGAGAGGCTCCGCGGCTTCGGGAGGCGCCGGTGTCATGACGGCCCAGGGGAGCCTCGTGGCCAACCGAGGCCGGCGCTTCAAGTGGGCCATTGAGCTGAGCGGGCCCGGAGGAGGCAGCAGGTGAGGGGCCCGCACCCCAGGCCTGCCCCGGAGAGAGAGCCCCGAACTCTCTGGCACAGCTGACCTGGAATGATGACTCCTGATGACTCCTGGGGGATTGCAGGCGTCTCCCCCTCGGAGCGTCTCTGCCAGAGGGTGCTTGTTTCAGTCCACCCACTAGGCCGGGGTCTGACGACCCCGCGAGGGGCTTGGTCTAATCTGGGTAGGTGTATCTGAGGATCTTCAGTTCTTGGATTAGTGGAACAGAAAAGGTGGGACATCAGGTGTGGGAGTCTGCAACCCTGGTTTCTTTCCTGATTTGGTTCTCTAGGGGCCGAAGTGACCGGGGAGGCGGCCAGGGAGACTCACTGTACCCAGTCGGTTACTTGGACAAGCAAGTGCCTGATACGAGCGTTCAAGAGACAGACCGGATCCTGGTGGAGAAGGTATAGCGGTATAGATGGCATCGCAGCCCTTGAACCATCCCTGACCTACACAGCCACGCCCTTCTCCCAGGCAGCATATGAATATCTAAGTGTAGATGGCCCTTATCCCAAATATTCGGTAACTAAACTGCTTGAGATGAATATTACAGTAAGTTACATTTCAGCTCCTAAAATCGGAAAAAATAAAAGACGTTTGGAACAGAAGGCCTAAAAAGTAGGTTAAAAATCATCTATTGGAGTGCAGTCTCTGCACTGGCACAGGACAGCAGTTCGTCTGCCCACCTGGGACTATGCCGGTGCTTCATTTCACCAACTCTTCCTCTGCAGGGCAGCAGCCTTCTGCCTGCCCGTGACCTGTTCCATGCCGGGACTTCCCCTGGCTAACCTCCCTCAGTGGAGGCAGCTCTCCTCAAGGCCCCTTGCCTGCAACCATGCAGTCCTCTCAGCAAACCTGCCCCTCTCAGGCAGCTCTTTTAGCCCGCTTGTGTCTGTGTAAGTGTCCTTTATCCTTCTGTCCCCTTTTCCTAATAAACCTGCTCTTTAAGTATAAAAAAAAAACCATCTATTGATGACAATATTGAAATCACACTAATCTGGTATGTTTCGCTTACACCACACAATCTGTCAGTCTAGTTGTTGGCTTTACCTTTGAAAAGATTCAAACTATTACCTTCACCTGACATCCTATTCTAAGTCACTGTCATCCTTCACCCAAATTTCTAAATAGTTTTTAAAAAATCAATTATTTTGAGACAGTTTATGTACAAGAAACTGCATTCATTTAAATTGTGATTTACCATTGTCATTTTGGGCTGAATAGTTCTTGTTATGGGTCTGTAATTGCATCGTAGTAATAGTTCTAATAATCCCTGGCCCATTAAAGGCCAAAATGTCCTTTTCCAGTTGTAATGACCAAAAAATGTCACCAACATTGCTAATGTCTTCCAGGAAGCTAACTGCCCTTAGTCAAGAATAACTTATTTAAAAAGTGCAATCTGATGAGCTCTGACACTGGTGAAGACCCATGAAACCACCACCATCGTGTGGGAGACCATTTTATTCCACCCTAAAAAAAAATTGTTATTCACTGTAGTAACTTCTGTTTGGTCTTACTTCCACTTTGCCCCTTCTAGTCTGTTCCCAGCACAGCAGCCAGAATGATCCTTTTATAAGTCAGATAATTCCTACTCAAAATCCCTCTGTAGCTCCCCAGGGTAGTTTTTTTTCTACATTATTTTATATCAAGCCTAAGTCTTTGTTATACATTACTCTGTATTGATGGAGCCCTTAGTATCATTTTTTACATCATTTCCTACCACTTTTCGTTCATCCACTGTAATTACAATGACCAAACTGCTCCTTAAATTTGCCAGGCAAGCTCCCATCTCATGCTTTTTGTACTTATTCTTCACTCTTCCTGGATTACTTTCCCCCCAGATACCGTTGTAACTTGTTCTGTCCACTCGTGATTTCTCAGATGTTATCTTAGTGATGCCTACCCTCACACACCTATCCTGTTTTTCTGCTTTCTCTGTACTGTTCATATCTATGACATAGTGTATGTATTTTATTACCCATCTTATCACGCCTTGAGAGCAGGATTTTGTCAAGTGCCCAGAACAATACCTGGTGCTTTCTTTCCTTGCAGCATTAATAATGTTCAATATTAAATGATCTTTGTTTCATAAAATGCACTTAATTTTCACATGAAAATAACAGCTATTATCATTTAAAATTTTTTTTTTGCATAGAAGAACCGTGGTATAGGCTATAGGTGTGGGGGATGAGGGGATTCACCAGAGACGGAGTGGGGAGCACAGCACATCTACTGAAATACACTGCTGAGGGAGCAGCAGCAGGCAAGACAGGAGAGCTCTGCTGAGCCATGAGGGTTAGCTCCCTGGCCAGGGATCAAACTCATGCTGCAGTGGCTGGTGATAGCTTGATAGCGCTGAGACTAACCCCTGTGCCACTAGGGAGACCCTATTAGCAATTTCTTGATAGGTATCTTACTATTTTTTGTCTTAGTATATCAAAGTATAATATGAATAATAAAGTATTACTGAAATGGCCTGATTTTAAAGGTACTACTTCTAGAACAATTTTATTGTATGGATAATTTAATATTTAAACTCTCAGGTTAATGATTTTTTAAGTAAATGACATAATAGGGAGCTGTTTACAAATGCGACTATTTATTCTTTTAATGTGAGTAAAACTCCATAGATAGTGGTATATTATTCTTTCTATATAGCTAGATTTACTTAGTTGCTATCATGTTTAGGATTTTTGCATTTAGGTTTATGAGTGATACTAGTCTATACACATTTCTCATAAATTGTCCTTGTCAGGTTTTGTTATTTGTGAGGACCCACATAGTGAGTAGTCAAATGTTTTGAGTTTGTCTAAGAGTGTTTTTATTTTTTGTTAAATGTTTAGAATTTATCAAGGGAACCCATCTTAGCTTAATTACAGAATTAGTTTCTTAAATAGGACATTTCCACTTTCTTACGCCATGTAGGAATTTATCCTTAGAATTCATAATGTGATCACACAAAGCTGCAAGACCTGTAGAGAAGTACCTTTCATTTCTGATGTCGAGTATTTATCTCCTCTCCTTTTTCATTAGGCTCACCTGATTAAGTTTATTACTCTTCTCCAAAAAATCTTTGATTTTGTTGAGATAAAGACAATTTCATTAATTTCTGCTCTTATTTCTTTTGGTTTAATTTGTTCTTTTTTAACTTATTGAAGATGTTTATTTTTATTTTTCTAATATGTATTTAAGGTTATAAATTTCTCAAAACTCTTGTCCCCCACAAGTGTTAGTAAGTGGTAGCTTGTTATTGTAATTTCTATTGACTCATGGATTAAAGTACATTTGTTAATTCCAACATGTAGTTATCTTTTTGTTCCTCATTTCTAGCTTGATTGCATTGTAATTAAAGAACATGCTTTGTGTGATTTGAATTCTGTTATACTTTCTCCATGGCTCAAGCGAGTGGTCAGTTTTGGTAAATGTCCCATATGTATGTGAATTCTGTAGCTGCTGGGTGCAGTGTTCTCTGTGTGTTAGTTGGATTGTTTATGTCGTCATTCAGATCTTCTGTATTTTGTCTATTTGATCTATTATTGATTCAGTATGTGCTAATCTCCCACTACATGGATTTATCTGTTTTTTAAGGTATAGATGGGATAGTGAACAATGCAGAAATACAAGGACAAAATCAGGGAAAACTTCATTAGCCAGAATCATTGCGAGAAATTACATTTAGAAAATCTACACGAAAAAACAGATGGTGAGGCTACCATATCTTTAGTGGAAGAATGAATTTTCAGTAGCAACACAGAGGGTAAAGGTGGAATTGAGTCAGCACAATCAGCAGCACAGAATTGGGGTTTCATTTTGTCAGTGATACAATAAATGTGGGATTTGGGATAATGGTCAGAGGTTAACACTGTGTGTTTGTTTTAGCGCTGCTGGGATATTGCCTTGGGCCCTCTCAAACAGATTCCTATGAACCTCTTCATCATGTACATGGCGGGCAACACTATCTCCATCTTCCCTACAATGATGGTGTGTATGATGGCGTGGCGGCCCATCCAGGCACTTATGGCCATTTCAGCCAGTAAGTGTTCTTGAAATAATAACCTTTAAGTTCTAAAAATTAAGGCAGATTCTTAGGCAAAACTCCAAGTTTGGAAATCTTTGGCACAGCTGTTGGCTAGTGGCTAGTTGCAGGAGGAGGGTGTGAAGGGTAATGATGGTCGTGGTGGCATAGAGGGGTAAACAGTGCTTAATATGGTTTCTTTGTTCCTTTTTATTGATCCTATTTGCTATCTCACTATGGGTCTGTGGCTATTATATTTTTAATAGATATTAACTCTGATTCATATTGAAAAAGAAGTTATTTTGGTTCTGATACACTTTCTGTTACCCCAACAGCGTTCAAAATGCTAGAAAGTTCAAGCCAAAAGTTTCTTCAGGGTTTGGTGTATCTCATTGGAAACCTCATGGGTTTGGCATTGGCTGTTTATAAGTGTCAGTCCATGGGACTACTGCCTACACATGCGTCAGATTGGTTAGCCTTCATTGAGCCCCCTGAGGTAAGTCAAAAGTTAACTTTAGGCCAGTGGTAATGTGACCTACCCATTTGATGGCTACAGTCGATCTTAGAACTTTTTTTTTTCAATTTTATTTATTTTTGCATAGAACCAGGGTGCAGGCCACAGGTGCAGGGGGCGAGAGGATTCACCAGAGACAGAGTGGGAGGCAGAACAGGCAGATTGACTGAAATACACTGCTGATGGGGCAGTGGGTGAGACAGAAGAGGTCTGCAGTGCCATGTGGGTAGCTCCCTGGCTGGGGATCGAACTCAGGTGTTCGCAGCGGGCCTTTGTGGTGATAGCACTGAGGCTTAACCCTCAGGCCACAAGGGAGGACCTAGAACTTATTTAAAAAAAAAAAGATTTATCTATGCATACAAGAGCTGAGGTACAGGCCAGAGGTGCAGGGGTGAGAGGATTCACCAGAGACAGAGTGGGGAACAGAACAGGCAGATTGACTGAAATACACTGCTTAGGGGAGCAGCGGGCAAGATAGGAGAGGTCTGCTGCACCATGTGGGTTGCTCCCTGGCTGGCCAGGGATTGAACTCGTGCTGCAGAGGCTGCAGATTGCTTCAAAGTGCGATGTTTAACCCCTTGCACCACCAGGGAGGCCCTTATTTCTTAAGAAATAAGATCTGTGAGGAGTCTGGAAGTTACTGTTTTTTTAAGGATCAGCAAAATAGTTTGTGATTAAAGTATTAAGTAATTGATTCTGGAAATTATTTACTCATTTACCACTTACCTGTTTTTTATTTCAGAGGATGGAGTTCAGTGGAGGAGGATTGCTTTTATGAAACTAAGAAAGAAGCACCTGATGCCCATATGTCTGGCTCTCATTTACAGCCTCCCTTATGTCCAGCAGCTCCTCCTCAGCACACATTATCACGCATGCTGAAAAGACCCAAAAGCTCTTTTTCTCTATCATGAGGAGACAAATCCTAGAAAGACAATGTACTTGTCACCACAGACACAAACTTATCACAACCTTTGACTGAAAATAATGTAGAAAACTTTATTTATGTTTCCAGAGAAAAACAAATAAAACCGTAACTCTATGTAAACAAAAGAATGGTTGCTGCTAAATCAAGAAGCACAGCAGCATCTCCTTTCAATAAATTATATGGTTATAGAGGACAATGCCTGCAAAAAGTTGCACAAATTTCCTTAAAATCTATTTTCCTTAATATTTTACTTCTATGTAACACAAGCTGGGACATAAAAATTCTGCAGAGACACTTGTGGAAGATGTGAGAAACTAATGCTGGATTCAGATTATACATGATGAAAAAAAAAAAAAACCCACACAAAGGAGCACATAAATATGCTTACAGTGTAATTGCTACTTTAATATCCGCAAGAATGGATTTTTAACGGTTGGGGGAATGAAGGTTGGCGGGATGGCTGGGGCTGTAGGACGCGGGGGAAATGGAAGGTACAGAGTAGTCACCTCCCCTTGCTTAGCGGGACTGGCACCTGGCAAACAAGAGGCCACAATCCTAACTTCAGCTTTTAAGACAGCTAGTGAAGGCAGCGGGCCAGCAGCTGGAGAATGAGTATTATCATAACCTGCCCCAGAAAAGTCATAGCTAAGATAAAAGCTGGATTTTATTCAAAAGGCAGGAGGAGGGCTTCCTTTCCTTCTTGAAACACAAAGCCCCTTCCCCTAAGGTGCATTTTCTCTCAAGTTTTCGGTATTGCTTTATTTGCAGTGATTGAAAGAGACAAGACACTTCATAGACAGACAACGTAAGCAACACATAGATATGAAATGCTCTAGACAGAGGTGAATTGAAATCTGGCCTAATAACCACTTCCCCATGTAACAGTGATTTTTGTCTTTTAGGGGCTAAAGTAATGGCTATATTAACAGCCATTAATTCCCTTTGTCTTTACAAGAAAAAGCTCGTCTAATATTATTAACCTTATTTCCTGCCCATATTTCCTCTATATGGAAAATCGTTATCACTTTGGCCAGAGTGTATGTAAATTTAGAAGAATTGCTGTGTGTGCCGACCTCAGAGTGCAGATCTTAAATATCTTGGGTCCTAGGGGACCTGTCCCACTATTAGCTGTACTCAACTAAGCAATGGAGTGCTGTAATGGACATTATAAACGATGCTTCTGCCCTTTGCAGTAAGGGACAAGTAAAAAAAATATCTTGTGTGCTTTGCTACCCTAACTGGGGCGGCAGGTTCAAATAGCAAAGGGAGCAACTCAAAATGGCTCAATTTCTTAAGCCATATTGAAGGGTATTCTCTGTCTATAGGGTCAAACAAATAGTCTGCGGATACCTAGGTCAGCTTGCTCTGCATCCTATTGGATAATCAAAAAATGAGAGGCTCTATCATTGGTAAAGTGAGATTCAAAAGGCGCCACAAATACAGGCAAGACAGTTTAAATAACTATCCTGAAAAAGAAATGAAGACTTCTCACATGAGAAATAACCACTCAGCCACATGCTAGCTTCCCCATACTTGAAAGCCAGGTGTCTTGTGATCAGTAACTTAGCAAAAAAAAAAAAAAAAAAAAAAGAGTTAAGCTTGCACAAGTATTTCCTTGGCACACATACAGCTTTCTGGGAAAAAAAAAAAAAAAATAGTGTGTGTTGGCTTGGACAGTCTCTTAGTTCAGAGCCATGTTTTCTGCAATCAGAATGAAGAATAAAATTGAAAAACGCTCATACCCTGGGCATCTAGCTTGGTGCCTCACATCTTCAGTATGGCTTTGGAAATGAGTCTTAGTGAGGAACAGTCTCTTGAATTAGGACAATGCCAATTATTTGCCACTTTAGTGAAGCAGGTAAGGAGAGCAGCAGCAGCTCAAAAACTTTGGCACTGTGGAAAAAGTATGGCTCTAGAACTTCAATTCCATTGCTGAGTTCTCTAAAGGTAGTCCAAAGTTCTTGGAGAAAAATTTTAGCCAGTCTTCCTGGATAAAATTTGGTGATTTTTGACCTGTGCCTACTAACCCAGAGGGCATAACAAGGAGGAGGACAGGAGAACCTACTGGTCAATGTGTATCATTATCGGTATTTCTTAGATATCAGCTTGTATGTTTTGCTCATGTCACATAAATAGACTATATTTTAATATATCTTAAGAGTTTGCCATTTGAAAAGAACCTGAAAGAAATAATTTTTACGCCAACTTAAAAATACAATTTCCATGGTAACACTGCCTCTATTACAATCTTCATCACAGCATGGGCTTTGAGAGACAGCTGAAATACACACCAACACAGTTCTGTGCACTTAATCCTCTTATTTTTGCAGCCATGTTTCACTTTTGTACTTAGTACCCTAATACAAAATTAGAGTCCTGGAAAGCAGAGTGCACACTAAAGAAAATTAGCTACAATAGGTTTCCATCTTGGCTTGCAAAGGGTTATCTCCACCAGGAGATTAGAATCCTCATGTACTTGGCTATGAATTCTTTACTGTAAGGCTGTGTCTCTGGCTATTACTCCCACGGTGTTACAGAACCATAATGGTGTGTCACTGAGACCCATCTTTAACATTTGATTTGTACTTGCTTTTTTCTCCAGTTGAATTCCCTAGCACCCCTTTTGCCAATTCATTTTGTGGGTTTAGCCTGTTAATTCTCTCTTCAACTAGTTCAGACATGGCTTTTAGGACCCGACCGTTGTTCTGATGTTGAGGGAGTATTTGCTGCTTTTGTAGAGACAGAAGATCATATGGGAACAAAGAGCAAATACACCTATTTGTACTTTCTTGCACAAGTATTTGAGGCTCATCTCATCAAGAGTTCGGTGTGATGTGTACAGAACACAAGCCTCTGATGGGAGTGGTAGTAAAGAGCTGGCACTTCCATGGAGGATGGAAACCTTTTAGGAAAGGTGAGGCCAAGCAGAGTCTTTCAGGATGCAGATTAGGAATAAATGGTGATAACTTCACTGCCACCACCTCGGACAAGGAGGACGCGCTCGAGTCCCTCGGTGAGCACTTCTAAGAATTCCATATCTTCAAAATTTGTCAAGGAGCCAAATACGCAGAAGAGCACACTTTACAACCTGGCATGATACTGTGAATTAATCTGATTACAGAGCCACAAAATTAACATGCTTGTTTTGTTATATACTCAGAACTGGACAAGTCTCAACACTGGATTCAATTTAACTCTGAAGGAACCCAGAGAGCTAGTCCCTTTACATAGAAAAGAACCTTTCCCATCTGTTAGATTTTTTTCCTAAATGGTATTTTAAAACGAGGGAAACCTGCAAGTAATGTGTCCTTACTACCTAGTATAACAATCCCCAAAAGTTAAATAGGAAAAAAGCTACAATAGGCAGCTTGTAAAATTCCTAGAGAGGACTCAATTTTTAAATGAAACTGTTCAAAGTCAGATTTGGGGGGGAGTTTGTTTTTTTACTTTTCTCGCGTAATAGTTCTGGTGGGAACTGACTGGCCTATATGACAGTCTGAAGGGGTGCCATCAAAACAATCCTGGGATTAGGGAATGAATTTTTTCCCCTCAAAGGAGGTTCATCTTAACTGCCTCTTCCTAACTCCCATCCATAAGCAAGAGCAAAATGGGTAGAGAAATGATGCGGTTATCCTGCCTCCAGGAATGTCAGAAAGGGTTCCATACGCTGGATGTTAGAAGTCAAATTATAAAAATACCACCTAAAAAATCACTTTAGGGCTCAACACCCAGTTAATGTCACTACTTTGTAAGAGCCCTTGCCTAGGACCTTTAAGTCTTCCTTCCTCCAAGGAAAAAATAGGGGCATCGACAATGAGTTTTATGCTAACCTAACAGTCTCATCTAAGAATACGGGCTAAGAAGATTTCCCCTACTGGTGACTTTGTTCTTGGAAAGGATACAGTTTTCGTCACCTTCAGGATTTCGGGGTGGTCCTGGCATATTCAACAAAACCAGCTTTGCTTCATGGGACTTGTTAACGATAACCTCGTTGAGCTTCACGGCTGTGTGCATCCGCCTCACGTTGGACTGGTCCCTGTTGGGGAAGAGGGAGGCAGCTGAGGCAGAGAGACAGCGGGGCGTACAGTTAACCTTTAAAAATTTGAGTTTTTCTGCATGGTATTGGAACAAGAACAGACATACAGACCAATGGAATCGAATAGAAAATCCAGAAATAAACCCACAGATTTATAGTCAACTAATCTTTGACAAAGGAGCAAAGACTATGCATTGGAGCAAAGAAAGCTTGTTCAATAAATGGTGCTGGGAAAACTGGGTCGCTACATGCAAAAGAATGAAGCTTGACCACTACCTCACACCATATACAAAAATCAACTCAAAATGGATTAAAGAACTAGACATAAGACCTGAAACCATAAAATACATAGAAGGAAATATAGGCGAAACGCTACATGACATGCACCTCAAAGACATCTTTACAGACACATCACCCAAAGCAGTGATAGTGAAGGCAAAGATCAACAGCTGGGACTACATCAAATTAAAGAGCTTCTGCACAGCAAAAGAGACAATAACAAAAACAAAGAGAAACCCCACCAACTGGGAGAACATTTTTGCACCCAACACTAATGATAAAGGACTGATCACAAAAATCTGCAAAGAGCTGATGAGACTCAACAACAACAAAGAAAATAATCCAGTCAAAAAATGGGCAGAAGAGCTAAAAAGAAACTTCTCTGAAGAGGAAATGCAAATGGCCAACAGGCATATGAAAAAATGTTCAACATCACTTGTAATCAGGGAAATGCTAATCAAAACTACCATGAGATACCATCTCACACCAGTGAGAATGGCACATATTAAAAAAACTAGCAACAAATGTTGGCGAGGGTGTGGAGAAAAAGGAACTCTCCTGCACTGTTGGTGGGAGTGCAAACTGGTCCAACCACTATGGAGAGCTGTGTGGAGATGTCTGGACCTACTAAACATAGAGCTTCCACGGGATCCAGCACTTCCACTCCTAGGTATTTACCCAAAGGACACAGAAACATCAATTCCAAAGAGCGCCTGCACCCCTGTTTATAGCAGCACTGTTAATAATAGCTAAGCCTTGGAAACAACCCAAATGCCCAAAAATAGATGACTGGATCAAGATGATGTGGTTCATATACACCATGGAATATTACTCAGCATTCAAAAAAGATAAACACATGCAATTTGCAGCAACATGGATGGCGCTGGTAGGGATCATGCTCAGCGAAATAAGCCAGAAAGAAAAAGAAAAATACCGGATGGTCTCACTCATAGCAGGAATCTAGAAAACTTAAATAAGGGACCAGGAAAATGAATAACTATAAGAAAGTGAAAATCAAAATCAACAAAAAACTATGAACCAAAGACACTTTTGCGGGGGTGGGTGTCGGGAGGGGAGGGATTGGGTCAGAATGGGGGGGTTGCAATTGTATAGGGAATATAAAAATAAAATTTATTACTTAAAAAAAAAATTTGAGTTTTTCCCCCTTGGCTATGAATAATGTCATGAACAAGTGATTTACTTATATTATTGTCCTGGATTTTTTGTTTGCTCGTGTCATACTAGAAGTGCATGGAGAGAAAGGAGGACAGACGCTCCCATTCAACGTTAACTGGGAGCTGATAGGTACAGCAAACAACAGAGAGAGATGGCTGGGCTCGAGATGAAATGAAGACCAGACTCCACGCCCGGCAGCGGTGGCACTGCCTAGGATCCTCTAAGTTTGTGAGTTGGGAAACTTACGGACGCATGTTAAGCAGGTCCTGGAATCCTTCCATTGACTTGGCCTTTTGCCCCCGAGAGGCCATGTACTTGTCTTTTGTCCAAGTCATGTGCACCTTCTCCTGATAGGTTTCTGTTTCTTCATCCTCGTCAGAGCCAATACTGGTCAGGCGCAGCATTGAGTTCCGGTCTTTCACCAACTGTGCCTGAGGAAGGACCAACATAGCTATGACGAGTGCAATTTTCTCCCCTGCTTCATCTTCATGATTTTGAAAATAATGTGGCTACAGTAGAAAAGCTGATAAAATGAGACTATCACCCTCTGTAAACAAGGTCGTGTCACCCCTTTCGGCTGACAGACCACATAGCTCGGGGTCAAACAATGTAACACGGTCTCACCTCTCTGTCCCGCTCTGTTTTGGACAGGCGCATGTGCCGGAGCATCTGGGACCTCTGCTCCATCATCAGGGTGCGCTCGTAGGTGTATGCGGATATGTCACTGTCATGCTGTCAGTCACAGACATCATCCAGAGTGGGCAGCAAGCACAGAGGAGAGAGGAGGACGAACCACACATTTTCATTTCTACTTACTAAACCAGAGAACATGTGACTATCAAAGTTTCACACCCACTTTGCCTAGTCATGAAGCTACATAAACACATTAAAGTGGATTGTAGATTAAATCTAGAAGTTCTGAGAGTATTTTTTATAATGTAAACATTGCATACAGATGTTTCTTTTAAGTAGAAAATGCAAATGCTAGTCTTTTTTTTTTAATATTGCTAGGTTATTTAAAAAAAAGTTATGAGTGATTTTAGTAGGGCTATCTGAATTAAAATTGAAAATTATATTAAGCAGATAAGAATCTGACAGAAGGCAGCAGTCCTTCTGCCCACTTGTGACTATGCAGGTGCTTCTTCTCACCAACCCTCCCTGTCTGCAGCGCCGCAGCCTCCGGCCCACCCGTAACCCGTGAGCATGCCTGGACTTCTCTTCACTGACATCCCTCGGCAGAGGCCGCTCTCCTCTAGGCCGCCCACCTGTGACCATGCAGGCCTCTCTCAGCAAACCTGTCCCTTTTGGAGCAGCTTTCTGCCTGCTTGTGTCTACGCAAGTGTCTTTTATTTGTCTGTCCCTTTTCCTAATAAACCTGCTTTTTTAAATATTAAAAAAAAAAAAAAGACTGACAGAAATATAAGGTTGTGTTGTGTTAACAAACACAAAGAGTTAAAATCTGCATTAAAAAGAATGAGATAGGGTATTCCTGGTGGTGCAGGGGGTTAAGCATCAGCACTATGAAGTCCTCAGCTACTACAGCACAGTTTGATCCCTGGCCAGGGAGCTACCCACATGGCGCAGCAGACCTCTCCTGTCTCGCCCACTGCTCCCCTCAGCAGTGTATTTCAGTAGATCTGCCTGTTCTGCTCCCCACTCTGTCTCTGGTGAATCCTCTCACCACCCCCGCCCCCATATCTCTGGCCTGTACCCCAGCTCTTGTATGCATAAATAAATTTTTAAAAAACAAAAACAAAAAAAGACACTCATGCCATTTGTAGCAACTTCAAGAGAGCTAGAGGGGACATGCTCAGTGAAATAAGCCAGAAGGAAAAAGAAAAATATCAGATGCTTTCACTTATAGGAAGAATATAGGAGACTCAAATAAGGGATCAGAAAAAAACAACAAGAATAAATTAAAAAAACACAATCAGCAGGCAACTATAAATCAGAGACATCGTGCAAGGGAGGGGAAGAGACAGGGATGAAAAAACAAGGGAGGGAACAGCACAAGGGACTGTGGTGATGGTTCACGGGTGAATGGGGGGTGGGAATTTTATGGGGACCACACCTGAGAGGAGAAAGTATACATTGTACAAAAGTGAACAACAATGTAAAAAAAAAATATGTATATAAATATTTTTAAAAAGCAAAAACAAAAGCGGCACTAAATATGCATCACATACACATTCTGCTTATCTAGATCAATACATTAGGGTTTTGTTGGACCTAAAACATTAACCCACATTTATAACTGAACAATTTTTTTTCTTTTTTTTTTAAAGATTTATTTATTTATGCATACAAGAGCTGGGATACAGGCCAGAGATGGGGGAGGAAGGGAGAGAGGATTCACCAGAGACAGAGTAGGAAACAGAACAGGCAGACAGACGAAATACACTGCTGAGGGGAGCAGCGGGAGAGACAGGAGAGGTCTGCTGTGCCAAGTGGGTTTCTCTCTGGCTGGCTGGGAATCGAACTCGTGCTACAGAGGCTTCGGATAGCTTCATAATGTGGTGCTTAACCCCCTGAGCCACCAGGGAGGCCCTCTTTTTTTTTTTTTAAGATTTATTTACTTATACAAGAACTGGGGTACAGGCCAGAGGCGTGGGAGGGTAAGAGAATTCACCAGCGACAGAGCAGGGAGCAGAACAGGCAGACAGACCGAAGTCCACTGCTGAGGGGAGCAGCGGGCGAGACAGGAGAGGTCTGCTGTGCCATGTGGGAATCTCCCTGGCTGGCTAGGAATCAAACCAGTGCTGCAGAGGCTGCGGACAGCTTCACAGCGCTCAACCCGCTGCGCCACCAGGGAGGCCCCAGTAGCTGCACAATTTTTTCTAAACCAGAAAATGTTCTGGGAAGAAAGGGTAGAGGATGGGGAAGCAGTGGTCATCTGATTTCAATCTCAACTTTCTTACCATCTCCACCACTTCCACCTCTGCCTCAATGCGCAGGTGATACAAGAAGGTGGCCAAGTCTTTCTTCATCTGAATACTGTTGTCTTCCAGCTGCGCCACTGTGAAGATCCTTATGCTGCATTTTCGCCACACCTGAGAGTGTACAATATTTGCATGAATTATTAGATGCAAGAAGGCAAAAAATTGTTATTTCCTGAATAAAATACAAGGCATTTTTGCTTAGAACCACCTTGCTATTAGTACCAGGTATTTGTTCCTAATTTCCTACTTGCTATGTTCTTATACAGTGAGGCCTCACTTAATGTCATAAATAGGTTCTTTCTAACTTCAATTTGAGTGAAACAATTATAAAGAAAGCAGGTCGAGGAGTAAGGTGATTTTGGTCACTGCTAAGCGGGACTTTTTTTCTTATCCATGTCATAATGACACAAGGTTGAGCAAAATCACATATTTCAACACCCTGCTACATGAGGGCAAAAGCTGAACTAAGCAACACACTAAATACGGTGTTTAGAATGATTAATTTCATAACAAGAGAAAACTAATAAAAAAGGAAAAGATGGTATACATGAGGGCGCTTTATTTAGACAGCATGGTGAGGATACCATTGAGACTAACATTTACTCATTTAAATTTCAGTTTAGTCCTACTGAAGGATGTGTATATGTGTAAGACACATGCCCCCTACATGCATCCTTAGGTTTCTAATATTTGTGAGATTTTCTTTTTTTTTTAAAAGATGTGTTCACTTATTATTTTTTCCAAGGGCTCACACAGAACTTTATTAATTTGCTGAGTGTCACTAGAAGATAGGTTAACATCAATCACAAAGAAAACGATTTCTCATAAGGTGAAAATGGGGATCATGGGAGAGTCAAGACTCTAATTCTTCTGATTCGAACTCAAAGAGGAAGAATTTGTGTAGTAAACCAGGACAGATTCAAGGGTAAAGGTATTCAGGGGTAGAGCTGCCTAAAATACCTTGTGCTGCTTGAGCAGGAATGGCAACAGCATGAGCATCCCCCCGTCATGCACAATCCACCACACATCAATGTTGCCCTCGGAAAACTGCTCCACATTGCTGGGGAAGAAGGAGATGTTCTTAGCCACCAGCAGAGCCAGGTGGGCAGCAGTTGTGACTCGCACTGTGCCTAAGGAGAAAAGAGAAAATCAGGATAAGCAGAAAAAAATCCTCAGGATTACTTTGCTTCCCATCATGTAAGGAAATTGAAGCTAACGTTCTCCTACATATCTTGGAGAAATGTGTCCTATTGGATATCCCTGGTGGTGCAAGGGGTTAAGATGTAACCTATGAAGCTGTCCGCAGCCTCGCAGCACGAGTTCGATCCCTGGCCGGCCAGGGAGCAACCCACATGGCGCAGCAGACCTCTCCTGTCTCACCTGCTACTGCCCTCAGCAGTGTACTTCAGTCAGTCTGCCTGTTCTGTTTCCCCACTCTGTCTCTGGTGGATCCTCTCACCCCCCACTCCTCTGGCCTGTTTCCCAGCTCTTGTATGCATAAATAAATAAAGCTTAAAAAAAAAAAAGCTGTCCTATTTACGCAACAGTGTAATAAAGTAATAAAGATCACTGAAAAAAATCTTAATAGCTAATAGACTTAAACTAAGAACCACGATTTTTGTATTACCATCTGTATATGCATCTATACATATATACACATATTCTTATTCTAAGAGAGAATGTGAATGTAGCAGATTCTGATGCTGAAGGACAATCCTTCCAATTCCTGTGAGAATGTCAACATGGGGATCACAAATGGAAACCATGGCAATTTCAGAGATGACTCCTGAAGTAAAAACTTGCCAGAGATAAGCAATTCATGGCCATAATGCAGAGCGGGAAGGGGTGAGCAGAGTCAAGTGATTATGACTAAAAGCTAGTGCCCTTCGAAGACAATGCCTCAGCGAGGGTTCAGCCTCTAGGAGGCCAGGGGGTGGGGTTAGGGGTAAATGCCCTGTGTGGGCTCTCAGGCTAGTCTAAGTGTTCTGTACCAATAAACGTCTTCCAAGCTCGAGCATCTTCACTCTGGCGCCAGCCATTAGGCCATCCCATCACCACCGTGTTGTGCTTCATGCCCCCGAGGCCACACGACTGGATGAGGTGAGAAATGCCCTCTTTCAGCTTGGCAGCCACCACCAGCTGGCAGAATCCTTTCACCTTCTCTGCCTCCATGAGGTGCTTTATGGTCTGAAAGAGACAAAGAACCTCAACACTAAATTGCTTCATCCTGGACCTTAACCTACTGCTCTTCTCCATGTCACCCTCCTCTTCTCCAACTCCACGGAAGCCCTGTCTCCTGCAGAAGAGCTCAAAGGTTAAAATTATCCCAATGAAATTTCACTCTCCTTTGTCTTTCTTCACCTTCTAAGTGCACACTACACAGAGAGTGGGTTGTCTACGTGCAGTTCCTCTGCCTTTTCTTAGATTATGTTTTTCTTTCTTCGTAACAGACCAACAAAACAGACAGCTGGAATTTTCAAAAAGGAAATAGTAAATATTCTTTCTTAATTGACCAGGGTGCATTCACTGGTGTGAACATGATCTTCTTGCTGCAGTCCCCGTCATGCCCTGACTCATTACCAGAAACTTAATCTGATGATTTAGTTTCACTTTAGAATTTTCTCAGGTATGTTTTTCTTTTTTGTTTCTCCTATTTCTGTATCCTTTTAGCCAGTTTAATGGTGATTATTTATGACACTTATACCTACCTTACTTATTCATGCCAATTTGGAGGTAAGATTTCATTTACTCTTACTCTATCCTTTTGGTGTGAAAAAACGATGGTTTTTCTCAAAGGCATAGATTAAGTCAGTGGTACAGCTAAGATAGTAAACAAGGCTCTTGATTTCCAATCCTGTGCTCTTTTTATATTAATTTTTACCATAATCCTAAAGTTTCTTCACATTTCTTTCTAGTTTGTAGGGTTTCAAAACATTCCAAAATGAAATCTGATAAATTTTTGAAATGCAACTGAAAATTTCTCCAAATATCAGAGTTGCTCTACCGTTTATAATAGTATTAGAGTGAGAAACTACTCTTTTTCTTCAGGTAGAGCTTTAATATTCAGTACAACTTGTCAGAAACAGCTAAGGAATCTTGCTTATGATACCACACAGATGAGTAAAGGGTAAGAAAAGTTGCTTATTACTGCTTGGTGTCAAGATCACAGGCACCATTTCAAGGGATAGATTTATATACATGATTGCTCTCAGGGCTGAGTCAATGTTTGTAGTCTATTTGGACATAGTTCTTAGTCTTGATAAGCTACAGTTAAGTAATACTTCATTTAATAGATGGAAAGAAAGAATAAATTACTATCTTCTGACATCTTATTATTTGGGAGACTATAGTCAAAACTCAGACTAAGGGCGAAGCCGCCTAGATCATTCAGGGAAGGGATTAACTTAGACATCTGAGGTCTTACTACTTAATATCACAAGATCAAAGCTAAACTGCACTAACTCAACAAGTCTTGACTCTTACCTGCTCAGCAGCCAAAGCTTCACCATAATTCTCCAGGAAGTTCCCCACAATGACAGAGCCCACAATAGTGAGACCCTTTCCTGCTTTGAGTTGTGAAGCAAAGGTGAGGAGGCGAGGATGCTTGACATGTAAGTCTTCATCTAGTTTCAGCAGAACCAGTAACTGAGGCCTATAAAGAAGTTGAGAGAGGGTAGAGGGGAGAAAAAACTTTGGGTTTGGGAAACAGAATGAGAATTCTACCTTTTAAGTCAGGAGATCTGTATGAAACATAATTTGACAGAAACAATTTATTAGAGAAAGTAATAGGATAAGAATATAGTTCTTGGGGCCTCCCTGGTGGCGCAGCAATTGAGCGCTGGGTTGTGAAGCTGCCCACAGCCTCTGCAGCGCCGGTTCGATCCCCGGCTGCACCCCGGCCACCGGAGGAGGGTCCCGCATGGCGCACAGACCTCTCCTGCCGCCCACTGCTCCCCTCAGCAGTGTACTTCGGTCCTTCTGCCTGCTCTGCTCCCCGCTCTGGCTCTGCTGAATTCTCTCACCCTCCCGCGCTTCTGACACTACCCAGTGCTTGTATAAATAAATAAATAAATCTTAAAAAAAAAAAAAAAAAAAAAGAATATAGATAGTTCTTCTAGGGGGCCTCCCTGGTGGTGCAAGGGGTTAAGCACCAGCACTATGAAGCAATCCTCAGCTACTGTAGCACAAGTTTGATCCCCAGCCAGGGAGGTGACCCACATGGCGCAGCAGACCTCTCCTGTCTCGCCTGCGGCTCCCCTCAACAGTGTATTTCAGTCAATCCGCCTGTTCTGCTCCCCGCTCTGTCTCTGGTGAATCCTCTCACCCCTTGCACCTCTGGCCTACCCTTTCTAAGTGCTTACTACACATATAGCACTCATAAATAAATAAATCTTAAAAAAGTTATTCTAAATCCTTCCAGTATTATCCCAAATTATTTGATCTTCAAGAAAGAATAAAAGTGGTAAAAAAAAAATCTAGATCATAAAGCAGAAAAAAAAAAGGGAATCAAGAATTTGGGATCATGGGCCTCGCTGGTGGCGCAATGGGTTAAGACACAACCCATGTAGCTGTCCGCAGCCACTGCAGCTCGAGTTCGATTCCTGGCCAGGGAGCTACCCACATGGCGCAGCAGACCTCTCCTGCCTCACCCGCTGTTCCCCTCAGCAATGTATTTCCGTCAATCTGCCTGTTCTGTTCCCCACTCTGTCTCTGGTGAATCCTCTCACCCACCACACCTCTGGTCTGTACCCCAGTTCTTGTATGCATAAATAAATCTTAAAAAAAAAAGAAGAATTTGGTCTGTTATACCAATTCCTTAAGCCACAGGATTTCCTTATTCCATAATCAATGAGGCACACATTTCTCTGTTAACCAAATGCCAAACACTAGGCTCAGTTTTTTTCTTTACCTCCAGTTTTTAGTGTGTGGAGGTCCTTCTTCTAGTCGAAGCAAAGCGAACCGGGCTGCACTGAGGGACAGCCCACGGATACCATCACCCCATTCTTTCTCAGCTCTGGGGCAAAAAAAGGAGAACAGAGCAGGGACAGATTAAAACTATAGCAGGTACAATGTAAAAAAAAAAAAAAAAAAAAAAAACAAAGCTTATTTTTTCTGAATCTAAAAGTAATATATGTATAAGGTAAAAGATTAAAACTCCTGGGGCCTCCCTGGTGGCACAGTGGGTTGAGCACAGCGCTGTGAAGCTCTCCATGCCCTTTGTGGCGCGAGTTCAATCCCTGGCCAGCTGGGAACAACCCACATGGCACAGCAGACCTTTCCTGCCGTGCCCGCTGCTCCCCTCAGCAGTGTATTTCGGTACATCTGCCTGTTCTGCTCCCCGCTTTCTCTGGTGAATCTTCTCCCCGCCCCAAACCTGTACCTGTACCTTCTTTCCCCCCTCCAACCTGGCCTGTACCTCACTTCTTAAAAATAAAAAAAAAGGCATTTTTAAAAAAAAGATTAAAACTCCTATTAATAATTCACATAATGCTTTACAGTAACATAGTGAGTCCTTTGTAAGCTTAGCAACACTATCATTCACTAACAGATTATACTGCACAATAGGGCTGGTCACTGTCTTTTACTTAAGTATTCTAGATATTCAAAAGCAATACTATAAAATAGCAATCAGGATTAGGAAATTAATACAGATCCAAAGTTTAAACTATTTTGAAAATAATGGGGGTGGGGGGTTAATTTAAAACTCAGTGTGTTAACACTGAATCAGTGTTAATTACTCCTAATTTTTGGAAGTTGTTAGTGAAGTCTTAGTTGTTACAAAGTTATTTGGCATGAATTTTCTTTATCTCAGAGACAATCCCTGACTGATGAGATAAATAAGAATATTTCTAGGGCCTCCTGGGTGGCACAGCAGGTTGAGCAATGCCCTGTGAAGCTGTCTGCAGCCTCTGCAGCGTGGGTCTGATTCCCGGCTGTGGGTTTGAAACCCACATAGCATGGCAGACCTCTCCTGCCTTGCCTGCTGCTCCCCTCAGCGGTGTCTTCAGTCCATCTGCCTGTTCTGCTGCCTGCTCTGTCTCTGGTGAATTCTCTCACCCTCCCGCGCCTCTGACCTGTACCCCGGTTCTAGTATAAATAAATAAAAATCTTAAAAAAAAAAAAGCTATAAAAAGAATATTTCTATCTGTGTTATACTTTTTTAATACTCATATTATTATTTAGACATGTCATTTTAGATGTTTTTTCATACATCCATTCACACTTTCTAAACAGGTTTCCCTTAGAATTAAAGGATGTGTCTATAAGATGGTAAAAGAATTAGGGATACAAGTTTAGTTAGGGATGAAGTGACCTGTCCCTTCATGCAATTTTCATTGGACTGATTCTAATGAAATCAGCCAGTTATACTTTTAGGAGAGATCAAGGTCAAATCCACAGACTTACCCTTGGTACTCGATGTACTTGTAGATCATACCAGCGATCACCATGGCTACGATGGCGTAGTACCAGGAAGAAATGAACATCAGAGCCAGACATATACTCATTCCCATGAAAGAGAGGGCCCTAGAGAATTAAGAACACAAAAAAGTATCTTTCCAGCTAGCTAAAAACAGAAGCCTCTGCTAGAGATGCTTCTTAAACTTTGGCAAAGGATTATTTTTAAAAATTCCAATCTAATGCATGCAAAACATTTGCAAAATGCAGTGATAATTACTAGAAAAATTATCATATGCCTGGATGCTGTGGCAATGTCAAATTGCTATAAAAATTCCTAAATTACTCAATTACTACAGTTGTCTTATCAAGAACTGGTAATAGTCAGTAGCTATGCACTGAGCCTCAAACCATCCTTTGTGCTGGATACTTGATTGCTGGGAAAACATAAATGAACAGGATCTACAAAAGTCATCTGTAGTTACGAAGATAATTAATGCCTAGTTAGCAAAGCAGGGATGGGACATAGAGTCAAAATTATTAACACCATCATGATGTTTTTTTAAAAAAGTATTTCATGTAAACATTCCTAGAATCTTTGAGATCTGCAGCACAACTGCAGAACCATCTACAAAAAAAATTGCCATTGGTCTCCATATTCTCCATAAGAGAAACTTCAAACGTTAAAGGTGGAAAGAGGTGTAGCCAAATAAACATCACTTCATGGCCCACCACTAATAAGTGAAGGCAAGGGGAGTGATGATGAAAGTCAGCAAACAGGAAAGTAGTGAAAGGTACATAGAGAACATATTAATGAACTTTTAGCTATAAGAGAAAAGAAACGGGATGGGATGTAGCTAAAAAACTGACAGCTCCTTCAGGACTGAGAAGTCCAGGCCACAACAACAGTAGCTGTGGCAGCACTTTACATTATCTCAAAACAAGCCAATGTACAGGTAATAATACTAATCCCCTTTGCAAATGAATAAAATGAACTGAAATTTTAAGTGGTTATATGCTTTGTTGAAATTTACAAAGTTATAGGACAGCAGAATTGCTATTGGAACTTAGGACACCTAACTCCAAAACTCACACTCTCAACTACTAAATGAAATTGTCATAAGGAAGACAGTTTAAGAATGAAAATTGGTAAGACTATAAGCATAAAAAAAAAAAGATGAAGTCCAGTGATTAGCCAAGATGGAAACAGGAAAGTACATATGCAAAGGTTGGTTTAACCTGAAGAATATAAGAAGTTGAAATATTTCATAATTGTGATTTTTATTTTCCAATGAGTGTTAAAGTTATTTTAACACAATATATGAAAAAACATGGTAGGAAGGTGGGAAATTCAGGTGAGCACTGAAAGTTGGAACAGACAGTATGGAAAGGCTGGCAAAGAAAAAAAATTGTATCAAGAACCTAGAATCTCCTAGTTTTCTAGTTCACTGATCAGTTCTTTATCCAAATGTGGGGGAAGAAGGGGAAAAAAAAAAAAAAAAAAAGCAGACTTACCAGTGGTAGTAGCGGAACCTGGGTCTCCAGTTGGGTGTTCGAAGTAATGTTTGCAAGGCACATGCTAAGTTTACAAAGAGGTAACACATGAGAAAAAACCTGGCAGGAAAAATAGAAGAGCTAATTATTATAACCTTTAAAGGATAACTCAAGAGCTATTTAAAATAACTGGACACTCTCCTGTCCACTAGTTCTGGATTTAGACTGGAAATTAGGAAAATGTAAACTTCCCACAAACCTGCTCATCCTCTCTCAGTGAAAGACACCAAAATCATTTATCCAATTGCTCTTGGGATAATCCCAGTGTTTTTCTTTGTTATTCATCCTTGTCCCAAATTTGTCTATCAAGTCCTATGGATTTGACATATTTAGAAATTTCTATACTTTTTTTCTCCTTTCTATCTTTACTACTATCATCTTAGTTCAGGATCTCACTTCTTTGCTGGATTAGTTAATAGGTCTCAAGACTTATTTAGGCATTCCCTGTTCAATTTTGGCATCCTTCTAATCTATCCCTTACACCATGTCAATCATCCTAAAATATAAATACAATAATTTTGTTTTTCAAAGGCTTACTCACTATTTCCAGGTCCTTTGCAGTCTAGTTCTATCTACTCTCTGGCCTCCTCTCCCCAACATGCACTCTCTTCTCTATCAAAGTACTTCTGATAATCTGGATGTGCTGCATTATTTCATCTTTCAGTTACTTTACACACATTCCCTGCCTATATCTTTCACTCCTTTGTTGCTTAGCAAATGAAGTCATTCTTCAATGTAGAAGTGTCACACCCTCCAGAAAACCTCTGAATCCACTTAATATTCTCACTTTAGAGCTCTGGCAGCATGCAGTGTCCACCTTTGCCACCACAAGTACTCATTACACTACATAAGGATTATTGGTTTCTTTATCTACCATCAGTTCCTTAAGGCTGTGTCTTATTCACCTTTGTATTTCCAGCATACTGCACAGTGTGAAGTTATCAGTAAGTCACAAAAGAATGAATAAAAGCTAACAGTAGCAGTAAAAACTCAACCTGTTGATAACATGTCAGAAATAAAGATTTTCTGCAGTTATATAGCTAAGGAAAAAACACTACAATTTATGAAAGTTAACCTAACATGAAAACTCAGTAATATTTATTATTTAGGTGAAGCTATATCTGTATTGTTGTTTTCATGATTGCTATAAGCCTGATAGAAATAAACATGTATTCTATATCATATAAGCAAGATAAAGTAAAGGGAATATCTGGTTCTTACATGGAAAGGATTGGGGCCACAAGATCCAGGGAGGCGATAAGGATTCCCAGCTCTGCAATGGCAGCAGTTAAAAGTAAAGCCCAGGTAGGCTCCCCATTCGCTTTGCTGTGACCGAAAACCTGTACATAGAGGGTAAATATCACAGATATAGGAAAGTGTTCGGTCAATTCTCCCTGATTCCTCTATGCTACAGTTTCAGATATCTGAAAGATAATAGTGTTACAATTGTGGGATCTTTTCCTTTTACCATTTTTAATATAGAGAATACAAATATTTATTGTACAAAATTAAGGCCATAGTATTTCACAGCCGACTAAGGCTTAAGAAATACTAGGTAATTTTTTAATCCTTTACAACAATTTCATGTCCTTTTCCCACTCCCCCAACTTTAAAATGACCCGGCCAAATGTTATCAAAACAAACATCATAAATACCACCAAGTCTTTTAAAGATGGCCATCCCAAAGTAATTTCTTGGCATGAGATGGTGTACTTTTAAGTCTCTGGCAGCTCCAGCCAATCCCATCATTTTCAAATTCAACAAAAGCACTGTCATGTCTCCCAGGTACCGAACATACTTCCGAATTAAAGCCAGGGAACCGACTCAACACAGATGATATCACCTCATTAGTGTCTTCTGGTAAGTTGTCAAGGAATAAAACGGTTTTCGGGTAATCAGGAAGCCAAGGGTGTGTTACTGGATTTCCGTGAGCACCAGATGAATTTTGGTGGCCCCTGACCAGACTTTTTGTTTGTGGTTGTTCAGTCTGTTTCACAGTTTTGGCATTTTTCTTTTCTTTTTTTTAGATTTATTTATTTATGCATACAAGATCTGGGAAACAGGCCAGAGGTGTGGGGGGTGAGAGGATTCACCAGAGACAGAGTGGGGAACAGAACAGGCAGACTGACTGAAACACACTGCTGAGGGGAGCAGCGGGCGAGACAGGAGAGGTCTGCTCACCATGTGGGTAGCTCCTTGGCTGGCCGGGGACTGAACTCATGCTGCAGTGGCTGTAGAAGCTTCATACGTTGCGTCTTAACCCCTTGACTACCTGGCCTTTTTCTTTTCTTTGTCAGCAAAAGTGCCATGAATTTTAGATGCTGTATCAGAGTTGACCTTTGCATACTGAATTCACATTGGTTTACCACAAATGGAGATCCTTGTCAAAGCATTCGTGAGTAAGCCCAGCTCCTTATATACAACAAAGACTTGCCCCTTCATCTTCATGGTCTTTAAAGCCACAATATCTACCATGTGGCCAAACTCAGAAAACAGAGCCTATAGAGGTCACTTCAATTAATCCTTTTTGATTCTGTCATTCATTTTGTTGATATATCATGTATGATTTAATCTGATATTCATATTTTTGGCTAAGTTGTTCAAACAACCCAAGGCCAATGCCATTTTGTGATATCTTTTAAATGCCTTAATGCTACTACCACTCACTTATAAACTCACACTAGGAATTTAGAGGATCTTGTACCCACATGTCTTCACATAATATGACTGAGTAATTCCTAAGCCTATGAAGACCATCATGTTCTCAGAAAACCTGAGGAACAAGTAAGAGGGCACGGGAAAGGGTCACTTACTCTTAGGAAGGGTATGATGTTATCCTTTGCTATAGCCTGTAGCAGTCTCGGTGCGCCTGTGAGACTCTGCAGTCCAGCCCCACATGTTGAGAAGAAGGAGCCAATGACAATCACCCATGGGGAGGGCCAGGATAAGGTCCCTACCACCAGATTACCTTTCACAGCATCCCCAAACCTGGGAGAGAAATAACAATGAGGAAATTTAACCTAAATACAACTTTAGACAGACAGAGCAGGAAGATATTCATGGAAATTTTTTCTCTTTATAAAATTCTGAGGACTGAAATTGAAATAGAATTGAATATTAAGAAATGTAAAGGTATGCAGATTTGATTAAAAGGAACTTTAACCTAAAAGTAACCTATAAGGCCAAAAAATAATCTAAGTTTAAGTTACCTTTTCCCTTCAAATCAAAATATTTGCTTTTTCTTTGGAAACAGCCCAAATGCCCAAAAATAGATGACTGGATCAAGAAGATGTGGTACATATATACCATGGAATATTACTCAGCGTTCAAAAAAGATAAACACATGCAATTTGCAGCAACATGGATGGCGCTGGAAGGGATCATGCTCAGCGAAATAAGCCAGAAAGAAAAAGAAAAATAACAGATGGTCTCACTCATAGCAGGAATCTAGATAACTTAAATAAGGGACCAGGAAAGCGAATAACTATAAGAAAGTGAAAATCAAAATCAACAAAAAACTATGAACCAGAGACACTTTTTGGGGGTGGGGGGTGGGAGGGGAGGGATTGGGGTCAGAATGGGAGGGTTGAAATTGTATGGGGAATATAAAAATAAAATTTATTATTTAAAAAAAAATTTGCTTTTTGCAGAAAAACTGGAAAGGTAGAGAGAAATACAAGAAAAACAGGAAGAAAACTGGTAATTATAACCTAATTGCTACACTTATTATACTTTGCACATTTCAGTCAGTTTATTATGATTGTATTTGGTCACAATACACCTATACATCTGTGTTCTTTTAAACTAAAAAGCATTTTCCTATGTCATGAAAATACAGGGATAAACATCTTTATGCACATATCTACATTCATACTTCAGATTTTTTTTTTACCATGGCAGAGTCCTAAGAGGTGACAATTGCCAAAAAAAAGCAATCAATATCTTAAATATTTCAAAATAAGTGTGCTGATTTTCAGAAAGGTTATACTAAGTTTATTTCCACTGGATGTATATGAAGGTTCAAGCCTTACAGCACACTCATATTTCATAACATCCTTGAGTATTACTATCTTTTTTAAAAGATTTTTCTTTATTTATGCATACAAGAATTGGGGTATAGGCCAGAGGTGCAGGGGCGGAGAGGGCGTGGTGAGAGGATTCACCAGAGACAGACTGGGGAGCAGAGCAAGCGGATCAACTGAAATATACTGCTGAGGAGAGCAGCGGGTGAGACAGGAGAGGTCTGTTGTGCCATGTGGGTTAGTTCCCTGGCCAGGGATTGGGTATCCAACTCAAGCTGCAGTGGCTGGCAATAGCTTGACAGCACTCACACTTAACCCCTGTGCCACCAGGGAGGACCTGAGTATTAAAATCTTAAAGTCATTGCTCGTTTGACAGGTGAAACATAGCATCTCATTGTTTATTTATGGTTTTATAATTTTTAAATTAAGCATCATGCAGTGGAAAAATAAATGTACATCTCAATAAATTTCCACAAAGCAAATGTGCATGTAATTAACCTCCAGTCAAGAAAGCCAAACCTCTCTAATCATTAGTCCTTTCTTCCTTCCCACTATCCTGACTTTTATTATTATGTGGCTTTACCTGTTTTTAAACATTAAATAAATGAAACACATGATACATGTTTTATGTTGTGTTTTTTTCACTCAACATTGTGAAATACATCTTTTTTTTATCTATAACTGTGCTTCATTTATCTTTATGGCTGTATGGTTATCCATTGCATTAATACATAATTTATCCATTCTGTTACTGACAGACATTTGGACTACTTCCAGGTTTTGATTATTAAGAAAAATACTGCTGTGAGAATTCCTGTGTATGATTACAGTGCACTTGTGTATGCACTTCTGGTGACTGCACCTAGCAGTGGGATTGACAGATCATAAGGGACATGCATGTTCAGCTTAAGGAATAATGACCAATTGCTTTCCAAAGCATATATTCCAATTTATATTGTCAGTAATTTTTATATTATGGTGTACTTTGCCAAAGCTCTATAAACCCATAAATTTTCAATTACAATAGCATAGTCATAATAAACTGTGCTATTTACTTTGGTCAACAATATTTATAGAGCATGTACGAGGTTCCGGTCTTCAAACAACTCAATCTCGTAGGGGAGGTGACATGAAAATAAAGAGCTGCCACATAAGATGCTAAGTGCAATAATATAGTATATGCAAAAATATTGGTTGAACAAAGGGATGAATGGTTATCTCTGGGTGAGTCTAGGAAAGTTTCAGAGGAGAGAAAACAGAAGCAGTATAGTCTACAAGGATGAATATGTTTGTCAGCTGGGAGTAATTGTTTTAAGGAAAAGAAACAGCACAAAAAAATGTGTGGATGGATGGATGGAGAGCTGAAACAAGGCATATTTAACTTTAAATTACAGTTGCAGTCTATGAGAGAAAGGTGAAGATAGAGCCAGATCAACATGGTAAGTTTTTTTTTTTTTTTTTAAAGATTTATTTATTTATTTATACAAGCACTGGGTACAGTTAGAAGCGCGGGAGGGTGAGAGAATTCACCAGAGCCAGAGCGGGAAGCAGAGCAGGCAGAAGGACCGAAGTACACTGCTGAGGGGAGCAGCGGGCGGCAGGAGAGGTCTGCGCGCCATGCGGGACCCTCCTCCCGTGGCCAGGGAGCAGCCGGGGATCGAACCCGCGCTGCAGAGGCTGCGGGCAGCTTCGCAACCCAGTGCTCAACCGCTGCGCCACCGGGGAGGCCCCAACGTGGTAAGTTTTAAGGGACTTTGGTAGGCTCTGAAGTAGGAAGATTTGTATGATCAAATGTTAGAAAAATCACTTTGGTAGCAATGTGCAAGAAGGATTGGAAGATAGTAAAAGTGGTAAAAAGTGACAGGGAGATTATTACAATAATCGAGGCAAAAAATCCTGAAGGACTGTACAAAATGATGGAGAAAAAAGTAGAAAGAATGAGATATTTTTTGGGGAACAATTGGATTTACAGGGGCTTAGGAACTAACTGCAATATAGGAAAAAACCTAGGGTGACACTTAAGACTCTGTTCTGAGAGAAGGTGCAAGGTGAGGCGATTAACAAAGATAGGAAAAATGAGAAAGAGGTAGCAGAGGTTTCTGGGTTGAATTTTTCTAGGATTCTCTTGGGAAAAAAAAAACCAGCATTTTATATTCATAGATGAGTAAAACGATAAAACACTCAGCAGCCTTCATGAAGGAAGTAAAAAAAATTTTAAGCTTTTATTTGGAATGCCAATGGAATTAAATACATACTTAGGTTTCGTGTAGGATATGCTACAGAAACCTGAAAGTTTATTTTTATTTCACTTGCCCTCCTTTACTTTTGGTCTTAGTTTTCTAATAGGTCTTAATGTAGAGGGAAGTCCTTCTTATTCAGACAAATCCACTGCTTTATTGTATCTCACATATTTATAACAAAATACCGACCTTTATTATTCACTCATCTTTTGGGGAATGATCACATATTTTCTAATTGTTAGTCATAATAAACCTCAGTTTGGGATTTGAGCTTATAACAATCTTGAAGCCTAGTGGAATGATCACACATACTGTTAGACAGATATGTAATTTTAAAAAATAAATCAACTACTCACTTGTCTCTTAGAACAACACCTTCAATACATGCCCCAAAAAGGACGACATTGCTTAAATCTACATCTCAAGTCAAGGAAACCGACTTGCTAAGATTATATAAAAAGAAGCCATTCAGGATATTTCTATCATTTAAATGCATTGCTAAATTCACAAATCCTATAAATTCTACCCTGAATTTTAGAGATGAGGTGGGTAGATTATCTGGTGAAAGGTGAGGTGACAGAGAGCAGTTATTTTTATTACCAAGATAAAAACACTGAGCACCCTAGTTGTGCTGGACATCCCCATCACTAAGACTAAACCAAATCTACGTAAAGGATACAGACAAAGGAGGTGGTCAGGATGGCAAGGACAGTGCCAATGGGAATAGACTTCTGGGCATCTTTCAGATCTCCAGATCTGTTTGATCCAGCCATGATACCTTTAAAGAAGGAAGAGAGAACAAATTAACTTCCTGGGCTCCTGGACACTTTGATCTTTACACTCATATCAAAGTCTAGAGACAAATCTAAGAACCCTTAGAAAAATCACTCCCTGGGTCTGAGAGCTTCTAAACTAGACAACAGCTCATCTGCTTACCTGTGACAGAGGGAAAGAAGATGCCCACCAGAAGAGTGAAGGAAGTGGTGATGTCAACAAGCACGTACTCATGGTTTAAACTGCCTAAGACATCAGCAGATTTGGCTGAGGGCTTTTCAATGATCTCTCCCTTTGGCAGATAATTACTCCAAAGATTTTCTGTAGCGGGGTAACAGGGGGTAAAGGGAGATACAAAAAACAGCATTATGGAAGCAAAATAATTAAATAGGGCCTCCCCGGCAGCACAAGGGGTTAAGATGCAACCCGTGAAGCTCTCCACAGCCACTGCAGCATGAGTTCGATCCCCAGCCAGGGGGCAACCCACATGACTCCCCAGCTGCTCCCCTCAGCAGTGTATTTCATTCAATCCACCTGTTCTGTTTCCCACTCTGTCTCTGGTGAATCTGCTCACCCTTCACACCTCTGGCCTATACCCCAGTTCTTGTATATATATATAAATAAATCTTTAAAAAATAATTAAATAATTTTATAATTAGGTAATTTTCTTCCCAAACATTCTAAATCAGATTTCTTATTTATAGTTTTTATAGACATATTTACTTCTACATGAGCATATAATGTGTCTGTATAACATTTCACAATAAAGCACACATAAATAAAAACCTAATGCCCTTTATCTGATTAAAATATAATTTGACAAAATATTGGTATAAGAAACAAGTGCAATTAAGTTGCATGCTAATGAAAATTACCAAAAGTTAAGCAGACTAAAGATGAATGCCCCACCGCACAAAGTTTATTATTTTTTAGTCATCAACATTGTTTCTAACATCTTAGTACATAAATTTGCCTACCTGCAAAGAATCCTATAGACTAAATATTTAAGATAGAAGTCACTTAAGGAAAGAGTTTCAGAAATTTAGCTGAGTTAAGAAAATACCTAATGGTGACAGTAAGAGTTCCATTCTAGGAACTGGCTATTTTACAATAACACACAAAGTATTTTCTTAACTCATCCTGAGTTAAAAAGTGATTTACTCAGCTTTGCTCTCAAAGGAGGTAAATTTTAGCAGACATCACTCTGTAAGGGAGTCCTGGAAAAGGATAAATTCATTAACAGAAAAGCAGGAAGATGTTGAATTAAGAGTTGCATGCTATACAGGGATTTTATTTGAAGTTTACACAGATCTTAAGCAGAACTTGGGGTCAAATCCAAGCTTGGGTGGGGGGTCGGGTGGAAGTAACTAGTACAATCAACTTAATAATATTGGAAACAAAGCATAGAAAAAAGGACAGTTATTTGAGAAAATCTACATTGAGGCTACCAGGGTTAGGGTGAAGGACCACGGGGGTTTTGGGAGTGGGCATGGTGTCTGAGGAGGAGTGAACCTATCCCCCTAAATCATACACAGAATTGTAAGCCAACATTACCACAATCAAATTAAAGTCATAATTAAAGTAAATAATAAAAAGAAAACTAAGATTAAAAAAAAGAGTTGTGTGTTTAGCTTAAAGAGGAAAGCAGTTCTCTGGCAGTGAGTCTTTATGGCCAATCGAAGTCTAAAATAGCAAATCCTGTTTTCCTTGGAGAAAAAAAAAAAGACTAGTCTAAAATCCTCCTAACTTACCTGTAATGACACCACTAGCCAGTCCTGGAATGCCCTGGATTGAAGTGACATTATTGTGAACAAAGTATTCATCACAGCTGACATTAAAGAACTGACTTGAGTTACAGAAGAAACCCCATAACTTAGAAGGTACTGTCATGTTGTTAACGTCCTTAGTCTTAGAGCAAATGTCAAAGTGCCTTGACGAAAGGGTGCGGTTACCCAGCATGCAGACCCTAAGTGAAAACAAACAAGGAGAACAATGAAGAAAGGGGGGAAAAAACACTTAAACAAGAAATTAGATTAGAAATATGTCAGTTAAGGGAAAAAATTTCCATCTCTATGAAATTCCACTCTTAGAATTGAAAGGAACTAATATTTATTGACTAGGTCTCTAAATGGTGACACAGATTTTTCTGCCAATTTAATCCTTAAGTGAACTCACAATCCATGTATTCTTATTCCTATTTTGTGGGTATAAGAAATAAAGTTTAGGGTCATGCCACAGGTGTAATGAAAGAATTCAAATAGAAGATTTATCAGAAGACATTGTGCTTATATCTTCCAAGATTTCTAGGCAGCTAGTCAATTGGCAGGTGTAAAGGAATCCCACAGTCCTTTTGCTCATCTACCAAAACCAAAAAATCATTTCCCACCCTTTTTTTGGGCCAGGAAGAACCAGCCTATTGTTTTTAACATCCCCTTGAAAATACTATGTTTCTGGTTATTGTCTTGAGGAGGACGGCTTGGCTAGAATTAAAAAGCACCTAGTTAATGAACTAAGAGAAAACTGTTTTTGAACTTAAGTGTAGACACACAGGGAATGAGGGTATTTTTCAATCCCAGGCTAGGGAGCAACCCACATGGAGCAGCAGACCTCTCTTGTCTCACCTGCTTTTCCCCTCAGCAGTGTATTTCAGTCACCCTGCCTGTTCTGCTCCCCACTCTGTCTCGGGTAAATCCTCTCACCATCCCTGGCAGCTCTGGCCTACACCCCAGCACATGTGTGCATAAATAAATAAAACAAATCTTTAAACAAATATATTTTAAAAATATTTTTATAACGAGCATGTATAACGAACCATGTATCCACTGCTTAGCTTCAACTCTCAACATCTCCATCTTGTTCCATTCATTCTTCAAGCTTTTTTGATTTTTGTTTTCTTTTGTTTGAATATTTTAAAGAAAATACCAGGCACCATGACCTTTTACTCACCAAGAAAAAAGAAACATCAAAGGAGAACTTAAGGAAAAATGGAATTTCCCCAAGTATATAGTATACTTAATGTAGCCTTTATGTGGCCGATATACTTAACATAGTACACAGAACACAGCCTTTTATATTTTAATACTAAAATGGATATTCAGCTAGTTTGCAGTTCCTAGATGAGTAGACTAAAAGTTTGTGATGGAATTTATTATTGACATCATTAGGCACAGAAGAAATGTGGAACTGGGAGTCAGGAAATATGGAACTGGGAGTCAGACTTCACACTCTAACTCTGCCATTAATTAACTTTGGGATAGGTTATTTAATCTCTACGGAGCTTTTTTCAAATCAATTCTTCTGTCATCAGATTAAATCAACATAGGATTGATGAAGTTGACCTCTGGATCATCCAGATGACTTTTCATAGACAATCTCTAGAAGAAGATTACAAACAACACTCAATGGTGCTAGCCCCCATGCCACAAGTCAAAAAGAAAAGAGGTGAGTCTATGCATCACCTATCTACACAAACTCACTACTACTTCAAAAAAATATTTATTTTATTTTATGATAAAATAAAATTTTATTTTATGACTAACAAGTTGATTATGGGGCCTCCCTGGTGGTTCAGGGGTTAAATCTCAATGTTATCAAGCTATTGCCAGACACTGCAGCACGAGTTTGATCCCCGGCCAAGGAGCTAACCCACATGGTGCAGCAGACCTCTCCTGTCTCGCCCACTGCTCCCCTCAGCAGTATATTTCTGTAGATCTGTCTGTACTGCTCTTCACTCAGTCTCTGGTGAATCCTCTCACCCCCTGCACTTGTGGCCTACACCCCAGTTCTTATATGCGTAAGTAAATAAAATTAATCTTTAAAAAAAAAAAAGAAAGTTGATTATGGTACTAAGAGCACTATAAAAAAGGTTTATATTAATTACAAATACATAGACAGGAGTTTAGTTTTCCTTTGACTCTTAATTTATTAATAAAAAGAATCTAACATTTGAAAACTTTATAAGGTGCTGACAATAACTACATTGTTTGTAAAGCCCTTCATGAGTACTTCAAATACGTACAAGTTTTATCAGAGGATTTTGGGAAAAACCCTCTATCTATATCCAAGTATGGTGATAGGGATGTGGCCTGCAGGTGGCGTGCGGGTGGCAAGCCAGGGCCGCCTCCAAATGATGGTTATAGCTTCCAGTTCCATGCTTGAAACATAAGGATGACAATCAATATGACACAGTTTTTGGTGAAGGCTTCCTGCCTAAATGCTAACTTGGCCTATACAGGAAGGAAATCTCAGAAACACAATCAAATTCTAACTTGAAATGATCACATTACTAGATATTGGCAAAGACTACCCAATAATGACAGAGAGAAAAGCACATACGGGAACTCTGGAGGGGCAAAAGAAGACTTGATGGCTCCAGCATAGATGGCCAAGATGGACACAATGACACAGGCCAGGAAAAGGGAAGCAAACTTGTTCACGTAGCGCACACCAATGAAAACCACCAACACCATGAGGATTAAGAAAGCTGTGCCGTAGACACGCATGTTATTTAGCATGGCTGCTGATTCCTTGAGTGCATCATCACTTCGAAAGATGGCAGCACGGGGGACAATATATATCTAATAAGCAAAAGAATTAGAAAATTTGATCAACTTGTAGTCAAACATAGGGTTACTGTAAGTTGGAATATTATTAATATTTTTTAAATGCTATTCTTAACACCTACATTTCCAAGTGGAAAAAAACAACAAATGCATTAGTAATTAATCTAGAGCATTATCTAAAATAATTATAAGGCTATCTTGATTCCTACTTCTGCTATCATTTTGTTAAATAGTAAAAAAAAATATATTCCAGCAAATAAATGAAAAACATTTTATTTCAGTAGGACAAAAATAACAGAAGAGATAAACCTCCTTTTACTGCACAAATCTTGCCTCTGAGATTAACTTCCTGGGTGAGAAGGGAGGATGGTAGTGACTGAGTGGAGGGAAGGAGCAGGCAGGCAAATGATACCCTAAACTTTACTGCCCCTATTCATACCAGGAGTCCAATAAGCAGTCAGTAATCATTTGACTGATTCCTATGGCTGATTTCTCAAAAATCTTGTTGAAAATAAAATCCAAATCTCTCTCTCTTCCATTCTGCAAGCCACAATTAAGTCATCATTACTCACCAGAAAAATTTCAATGGCACCAAGGATATACATGGCTGCTGCAAATGTGGTACCAAGATAAAAGCAGAGGCCAACAGCCCCACCAAACTCTGGGCCCAATGCCCGGGAAATCATAAAGTATGAGCCCCCAGCTAAAAGACAAAATACAGGATAAAGAAAGCACATTAAGAAGAAGAATGTAAAAACAAGTCTTGATAAGAAGAATATGCAGGAAGGATACATTTTTCAGGCTTTTGAAAATTTTGTATGTGATAAAAAGTAAATTTGCTAGTGGGAAGTAAAAGCTGACACTTTTATGGTAGAATATACTGCATGTCTAACGCATCACATGAAGCAGAAGCACAATTTGTCAACATGATTGCTTAGAAAAAGATCAGAGACTACTTACCACAGGTGTGAGATAGTCTAATAAGGCACATTTTACCTAAAATAAGCTAAGAATGTGATGGAAATAAATGCATTCGATAGCTTAGAACAAAAGAGATTTTAAAAGAAGGTATCCTAAAGTCAATTAGTATTAGTGTCTGTGGGCAATAGACTGAAAAGTTCCATTCCTCAATTTTTGTACCTCTGGCTTTACAGCATAAATAGAGTAATTACTGAAATCCAATCTTAGCCTACTGACCTGGCACCACTCCATTAGTGGCAATGGCACTCATGGAGATAGCAGTCAACAATGTCTGTAAAGAAGGGGGAAAGGAGAAGGTTGTTACTATACAAAGATAACATTTCTTTATTATTTTCCCACCTGTGGACCTTAGAGCACTAATCAAACATTTAGCTTGACTGACTCATGCATGGAGTTGCTTGTCATACCTAGTGGGTATGGAAATAAGATGATATGGTTTAACTCATCATCCCAGCCACACTACTGTTATCTGGAGTATTCTGTTAAAATGCCCCTACATCATAATCAGTAAAGTAGGTGCTATTAAGAACCACTGATTCCGCTCTGGATCTTTTAGTTAAACCACGTAGAAAACAGACTGGAAACTGACTGAAGACTGACTACAACAATGTTCAGCAAGGAAGGAAAGAATTGTATTTTAAATTGCATTTTAAAAACATGGCCTACAGGCAGAGTACAGAATGGACTGCAGATAGGGGACAGGTGGAGGCAAAGTGATGTGTTAGTGGGCTATTATAGCAATTTAATGAAAGATAAGGATGGGTGGGGTGCTAGTGGTGGGAATGTAAGGAAAGGGTTGGATGTAAGAGATTTGAGGGAAACCTGATTTAATTTGATGTGAGAGGCAATCAAGGAGTCAAATATGGTCTTGAAGTTTTAAGACTAAGAAACTGTACATAAAAAAGTGGTAGCATTTATATGAAGTTATTAATGATATAGACTATTCATCCTTACCCTGCTTTGTAATACTCAGCTGAAAATAATGCAAAGGGAGGGGATAACGGTTGACAGCAATAAAAGAGGTCAGTATACAGTTGAATAATAAAATACAAATTTTGGGGCTTCCCCAGTGGCCCAGAGGTTAAAGTCTCAGCACTATCAAGCTATCACCAGCCACTGAGGCATGAGTTCGATCCCACATGGTGCAGCTGACCTCCCTGTCTTACCCCCTGCACCTCTAGCCTATACCCCAGTTCTTGTATGCATAAATAAATCTTTTAAAAAATACAAATTTGGGGGCCTCTTGGTGGCACAGGAATTAAAGACAGTGCTACCAAGGTATTGCCAGCTACTGCAGCATGAGTTTGATTGCCCAGCCAGGCCAGGGAGGTGACCCACATGGCACAGCAGACCTCTCCTATCTCGCCCATTGCTCCCCTCAGCAGTGTATTTCAGTCAATCTGCCTGTTATGCTCCCCACTCTGCTCCCCACTCTGTCTCTGGTGAACCCTGTCACCCCCCTGCATCTCTGGCCTACACCCCAGCTCTTTCATGCATGCATAAATAAAAAATATATACAAATTTTAATAATATATGATCTTATAATCACAATGATAGATGTGGTTGGAGTACAAGGATGAGTATTTTAAATGAAAGGAAGATCAGAACGATCTTGGAGAGCAGACTTGGGGAAGAGGAGGAAGAAGAGAGGAAAAAAGACTTGGAAAGAACACCTGCATTTCTTGGGAAAAGACAATGAATGACACTTCAGAATAAAACAAATATTCCTCACCCCCAAACAACAATTAGTTTTGTTTCTCATTTGCACTGGAGAAGTATATCAAATTTTCTAGTACATTTTATGTCATAGTACATTTATGTCTATTACATTTTATGCTCAAATGATTTGTATTCTGAATTCTTTGAAGAGAGAAACTGCATTTTCTACCTCCTATATAAGTCCTCCTTTATAATTTCTAATACATCTGAAAATGCTTTCAATTTTAATAACAGAATAATCTTTTCTGTTGAGGTCATAATTCCCCTCTAGTATTATCTGTCTTACTCTCAAAGAAGTCAAGTGCATGTACTCTTGATCACTCCCAGTGTTCCCAGTGATCTCTAGGAACCAACAACTCAAGACTTACACAGCAGCAGCAGATAAGAACAATTGCAAAGGCCTGGAGAACTCCAGCCGTGCCCACAACCCATGTAAGGCGTAGAAACAGGATCACTCCAAAGATATTTTGCAGACATGGGAGGTAGACACCCATGAAGGTACCCATTTGGGGGCTCTGGAATAAAATATGTGACAAAAGGAAAAAATTAGATAGCCATCTAGAAAAGATGCTTTTATTCCTTTACTTTTATATGGAAATTTGTTCCCTAACTACCAAATTAATCTCAGAGCATAGATAGTAAGTTTAAGCGATATCTTAAAAAGGCGCATATAGAGGGCCTGCCTGTGCTGTCAAGCTATTGCCAGCCACTGCAGCATGAGTGTGATCCCTGGCCGGCCAGGGAGCAACCCACATGGCACAGCAGACCTCTCCTGTCTCGCCCGCTGCTCCCCTCAGCAGTGCATTTCAGTAGATCTGCCTGTTCTGCTCCCCATTCTGGTGAATCCTCTCACCTCCCCCGCAACTCTGGCCTGTACCCCAGTTCTTGTATGCATAAATAAAAAAATCTTTTTTTAAAAAAGTACATATAAAATTGCCACCTTATAAATATTTATTATCATACCTTTTATTATTCCTAGAGTTATACATTTTTACTTTACATAGGTACCCACATAATTTTACATAGACATTTGACCACAAACAAAATTTTTTTTTTAAAAAACTTTTTTTTAAAGATTTATTTATGCATACAAAACTGGGGTACAGGCCAGAGGTGCAGGGGGTGAGAGGATTCACCAGAGACAGAGTGGGGAACAGAACAAGTGGATCTACTGAAATGCACTGCTGAGGGGAGCAGCAGGTGAGTCAGGAGAGGTCTGCTGCACCATGTGGGTAGCTCCCTGGCTGGCCGGGGACCAAACTTGCTCTGCAGAGGCTGCAGACAGCTTCACAGTGCTGTGCTCAGCCCTTGCACCAGCAGAGAGGCGCCACAAACAAAAATTTTATGTGTGCCTCCAACAATTAAAATTTTTCTATTCTTCAAAGCTTTAACTTTCTCTTTTCATTTAAAAATAGAATAACTTGATGGAATTCCTTCAGAATTCAGCATAAATCCTTTACAGTAGCTGGTGAAGATCTAAGGATCATTTTGCTTCTAACAACCAGAAAGCTAACTTGTAATATTGTTCCATATTTTCATTTTGAGAAAAACTGATATTTGGTCTTTGAAAAAGACCAACAACTTTACAACAGACAGATGGTACCAACAGATGGAAGTGCTGTTCTTTCTCCTTGGAATGCTCTTCTCCCAGCTATCACATGGCTCCCTTCCTCACAGTCTTTCTCTGCGAGTGTCACCCTGTCAGAGGGATTTCCCTGATCAACTCCTCTAAAATGGCCACCCCCCTTTCCCCTAGCTCCCTTGTGGCCAGTCTCAGTCTTTTTACCCTGCTTACATTTGTGGTATAGCATTTACCAACACTTAATATGCTATATAGTTAACACAGTTGAAACATCTTAAGAAATATCTGCCCACAGTAGAATTTAGACCACATAACAGTGGGACACTGTTCATTCTGCTTGTGCTGTGACCCCCCATGCCCAGAACAGTGTCTGGCACACATCAATAATTCAATAAATAGGGCCTCCCTGGTGGCGCAAGGGGTTAAGATACAACCTATGAAGCTGTCTGCAGCCACTGCAGCATGAGTTCGATCCCCAGGCAGGGAGCTACCCACATGGTATAGCAGACCTCTCTTGACTCACCCGCTGCTCCCCTCAGCAGTATATTTCAGTCAGTCTGCCTGTTCTGTTCCCCACTCTGTCTCTGGTGAATCCTCTCACCCCCACACCTCTGGCCTGTACCCCAGCTCTTGTATGCATAAATAAATAAATCTTTAAAAAATAATAATTCAATAAATAGAGTGATGCCCTGGATACTTCCTCCTTCCTTATAAATGGGGCCCTTTTTATTTGTCCTTGTTATTCTAAGACCTCACCTTGGTGGGTTTCTTTTTCCCTTCAGTGATGTTCTCTGCTTCTTCATGTTCCTTTGCTCCTTGTGTTAGATTAGTGTAATTGGCCATACGATTGAGAAGAGAAGACACCTTTGGTCTGGTGTCCATTTCTTCCTACAAAACCAGAAATATGGGAGAAATAAGTGACATGCTGGAAATAAGAATCAAAATGATCTCTGTACCAGAAAACTACAAAGCAAATGAGAAAACATTTCACAATATTTTTTTAAAAATTGTGAGACTTTGTAGCTCCCCTACATTAAGATACCATACTTAGCAAGACTACAGGAATCCTTGTAAAATTCTTAAATGAAAAGCTTCATTATTCTTTTTGGTAACTTTACAGTAAAAACAAAATTATACTGGCTCCCACAGAGAAGTGTAACCTCATAAAGAACACTTATGAAATGATCTTTAATCACAGTACCCCCTTTCTTTAGGCTACTGACATTCTACTAACATGGATGGTTATTATTATTTATAGTATCAAGCAAGGACAGGTCAACGAAAACATTTTGTGCTGAATTAAATATTCACCTCAGGTCTTTTGTCTTTAAGGAATCTGAGAGAAAACATTTAAAAACTAGACACATTGGGGGAAGTGGCACTCACATCACTGTCCAAAGTTAGACAAAGACAGCGCTGGACTAAAGCCGATTCCTTTCAACAACCTGGCCACAGATTCCATCAGAATCCGCGCTGTCTTAGTCAGACAGGACATCAGATCCTTCTACTCTGGTAGCCGGCTTCCTACACTGATTTTTGTTGAGTAGTTCAAGGGTAAGTGATAGTCTTCCCAAATATGGAGTTGAAAAACACACTTTTATACTCGAGGAAAGCTAACTTCAATGTAAACATTTAAATCCTAGTTGAACGAAACAATAAGGTTCTCCATGTGCCTGTGATGCCAATGATCCTCCTCTTTCCTTTATAGAAATTTGATTTAATGAATACTCATTAAGTAGCAGTAGTTAGATATGTAGACTAAATTAAATGTGACGAGTTAGAATAACTTGTATTTTAACGAGTTATTAAGCTATCCAGTCTGTACTGTTTTAAAACTAAATAGGGTATGAAACAGCTACCTTTCTTTTTCTGTAATATGAGTTTACAACCCTGTATCTGATATAGGGAAACTGGTTTAGACCTCTTCAGATGAATGTCAGCACACCATATCCACCATCAAAGCACCAATAACCCTTCGCTGTGTATCAATGGGCCTCCTTAGCCTTCTTGTCCTCCACCCCACAACCTCCCTTTTCAGTAGCCTCAGGAAACAGCTCTCTTGAAATCGCTGTTCCTGAAATCTCTGCCTTAGCTTTCTCTCAAATATTACCTCAAAGAGTGCCAAGTTTTTATCAAAATATTCATCGCCTTCTTCATAATTAGAATTATTGAGATAAGCATTCCGAGCTTTCTTATGGCCATCATCTGGGAAAAAAAGTAAACCACGTTAGTTTCTCATTGTATTGAAGATGCAAATAACTGTATGCTGCCTCTGCATTAATTGAACCTATTTTTATATTCAGATTGTAATCTGAGTATAGTTGAACTTAATCAGCACTGCTTGGAGAATGTGGCCGTTTCCAAAAGGAACAAACCACATCTCTAAGGATTAAATACGAGTCATTTACTTCTTAGCAATGAAAGACTTCTGGAAACACTACTCATTCAGGTTTCTAGCCTATAGAGACCTGACTCTGAAAATGACCCACATAGCGGCTAAAAAAAAAAATTATCAAGTACCATTCAACAACCTTCAGTACAATACTGTGCTGGACAAGGCCCACTTTACATACCGCTGCTGATGACAATGGCAGTGAAAGTTCTCTGCTTCTGAGTCTGTCCAACTTTTCATAATTAATACTAGGTCATTTAACCAAATATTATTTTTGTACAAACTTTTGGCTCATGCTTTATGTTAAAAGAGTCACCTAAGGGCCTCCCCGGTGGCACAGTGGTTGAGCGCCGCACTGGGAAGCTGTCCACAGCCTCTGCAGCACCAGTTCGATTCCCCGTTGGCCAGGGAGAACCCCACATGGCTTGGCAGACCTCTCCTGCCTCGCCCGCTACTCCCCTCAGCAGTGTCTTCGGTCTGTCTGCCTATTCTGCTCCCCGCTCTGGCTCTGGTGAATTCTCTCACCCTCCAGCGCTTCTGACCTGTACCCCAGTTCTTGTGTAAAATAAATAAATCTTAAAAAAAAAAAAAAAAGTCACCCAACAAGAATTTGATGAGGGCCTCCCTGGTAGCGCAAGGGGTTAAGACACAACCTATGAAGCTACCTGCAGCATCTGCAGCATAAGTTCGATCCCCGGCCAGCCAGGGAGCTACCCACATGGTGCAGCAGACCTCTCCTGACTCGCTGGTTGCTCCCCTCAGCCTGCTGTTTCCCACTCTGTTTCTGGTGAATCCTCTTACCCCCTCCCCACATCTCTGGCCTGTACCCCAGTTCTTGTATGCATAAATAATTAAATCTTAAAAAAAAAATAATTTGATGAACCAGCTTTGAAGAAAAAAGGGGCTCCGAGGTGGTGTAGGGGTTAAGTATCACCACTATCACCACTAAGGCCTGAGTTTGATCCCAGCCAGGGAGCTAACCCACATGGCACAGTGGACCTATCCTCTTTCCTGCTGCTCCCCTTAGCAGTGTATTTCAGTGGATCCACCTGCTCTGCTCCCCACTGTCTGGTGAGTCCTCTCACCCCCAACCATGCACTTCTGGCCTACACCCCAGTTCTTTCACTAAATAAATATTTATTTATTTATTTTTAAAGATTTATTTATACAAGAACCAGGGTACAGGCCAGATGCATGGGAGGGTGAAAGAACTCACCAGAGACAGAGGGGGGAACAGAACAGGCAGACTGACGAAATACACTGCTGAGGGGAGCAGCGGGCATGACAGGAGAGATCTGCCACGCCATGTGGGACCCTCACTGACCGGTTGGGATGGAATTGGCACTGCGGAGACTTCAGACAGCTTCACAGAACGGTGCTCAACTGCCTGTGACACCAGGGGAGGCCCTAAATAAACTTTTAAAAAGAAACAAAAACACTTAAAAAAAAAAAAAGACTGGGTTCCCTATGACAGTAGAGTGTGTATTGCATGAGCACTTCCTTAACTTTTGCTCTTTATTATGTAAAAGTTATATAATTGCAATCATCTGGTAGGAAAGAGAAAATTAAAAAATATGAAGATGTCATTAAGAATTGAGATTTTAAATACTAAGGAAACAGACACCAATCTAAAACTTTTAAGTTTTATAACCTTAAATAGATGAGCTTGGGCAGTAGCCACCAAGTTATCAAAATAAGTGAGTAATACCAAAGGACAGAAAAACCAACCTAAAGGCATTCCCACTGGCTAAAAATGGGATCAATGAGCACTAAAAATAAATAATGCAGTGGAATGAAATGCAAATATGTGAAATACCCCAAATGGTATCTTAAAAAATTAGTCATCTCTGCAGAGTTGCTAAGGAAACAACATATATAACTCTGAAAAATAATAAATGGAAAGAATCAAGCAATTATCCTGCCTTTCCTATAACAACTGCATTTTGGGATAACCAAATGTCAAAGAAAAATTGTTAAAGGAGCATTCTAGCTAATAAATGCAGATGGAATAGTATCATTAGAAAACATCACCAATTTATAACCTTTAATGAGATAATGGATAGCAAATGGATCATTATCAATGGACCATCAAATGATGAAAACCATTTTTGGTGATAGACGTTTACACTATAATGGATTCTAAGGCAGAATTTTTTTTTTAAAGATTTATTTATTTATTTATTTATGCATAGAAGAACTGGGGTGCAGGCCAGAGGTGTGGGGTGGGGGTTGAGAGGATTCACCAGAGACAGTGGGGAGCAGAACAGGCAGGTTGATGGAAATATACGGCTGAGGGGAGCAGTGGGCGAGTCAGGAGAAGTCTGCTGTGCCATGTGGGTTGCTCCCTGCCTGGGGATCGAACTCGTGCTGCAATGGCTCTGGATAGCTTCATAGATTGTGTCTGAACCCCCTGCACTACCAGGGAGGCCCTGAGGCAGAATTTTAAATGGATGATCAGGGTAATTTGGAACTCACTGATCAACCTTAATATCACTAAAAGCAGGACAACACAATCTTCTAAAGCAATATAATGAAAACAGTACTGTGCAACCTATGATGTATTCTTACCAAACGTTAGAATTCTAACTCAAATGAAATGTAAAAAGACATTTTTGAAATGAGAGACATTTTAATATGGGCTGGTTTCTTTTTTTTAAGGCTTACTAGGTAAAATCATATGACATCTAAAATCTTTAAAATATTCCAGGAAGGGCCTCCCTGGTGGCGCAGGCAGTTGAGCGCAACACTGTGAAGCTGTCCGCAGCCTCTGCAGTGTGGGTTCGATCCTGGCTGGCCAGGGAGAATCCCACATGGCGCAGCAGACCTCTCCTATCTCGCCCGCTGCTCCCCTCAGCAACACTGCCTGTTCTGTTCGTCAGTCTGCCTGTTCTGTTCCCCACTCTGTCTCTGGTGAATCCTCTCACCCTCCTGCACATTTGGCCTGTTCACCAGTTCCTGTATAAACAAATAAATCTTTAAAATATTCCAGGAAAAAAAATAGGTAGTCTTGAAAACAGCTCTGAAACACTGTTGAGGTTTAGTGATGGGTTGATAGAGGTTTATTATCATATCTACTTTTCTGTACCTTTGGAAACTTCCAAAATAAAAAGTTATAAGGAAAATGTAATTCTTTTCCTCTAATGTTTCCAGAAAATTCTGAAGAGAATGACACAGCTTAAAATAAACACTGCTTTTGAATAATTCATTCATTCAATTAATTCATTTATTAAGTTCTTATGATGTGTTGGGTACTGTTCGAGATCTGGGGGAAAAAGCATTGAAAAGGCAGTTATAGGGCCTCCTTGGTGGCACAGTGGGTTGAACACAGTGCTGTGAAGCTGTCCGCAGCCTCTCTAGCACGGGTTCGATTTCCAGCTGGCCAGGGAGATTCCCACATGGCGCGACAGACCTCTCCTGTCTCACCTGCTGCTCCCCTCAGCAGTGCTTTTGGTCTGTCTGCTTGTTCTGTTCCCCACTCTGTCTCTGGTGAATCCTCTCACCCTCCCATGCCTCTGGCCTGTACCCTAGCTATTGAATAAATTAAAAAATTAAGAATAAAAAGTAAAATAATTTAAAAAAAAAAAACAGGCAGTTATAGGGCCACCCTGGTGGTGCAAGGGGTTGTCTCAGCACAATGAATCTATCCATAGCCACTGCAGCACAAGTTCAATCCCAGCCAGGGAGGTGACCTATATGGCACAGCAGACCTCTGCTGTCTCTCCTGCTGCTCCCCTCAACAGTGTATTTCAGTAGATCTGCCAGTTCTGCTCCCCAAACAGTCTCTGGTGAATCCTCTCACCCGCCTGCACCAGCCTGCACCCCAGCTCTTGTATGCATAAAGAAATAATCTTTTTTTAAAAAATATATATATCTTTCTTTTATTGTGTATATTCGGAAGTCACAGAAGACAGAAAATAAGCAACTAAAAAGAAGATATTTCAAGAAGTAGTAAGTTTAGGGACTCCAAAGTGGCGCAGGGACTCCCAGGTTGAGTGCAGAGATTTGAAGATGTCCTCAGCCTCTGCAGCGCTGGTTTGATCCGTGGCCAGCCAGGGAGATACCCACATAACAAAGCAGACCTCTCCTGTCTCGCCCGCTGCTCCCCTCAGCAGTGTATTTCAGTAGATCTGCCTGTTCTGTTCCCCCCTCTGTCTCTGGTGAATCCTCTCACCCTCCTGCACCTCTGGCCTGAACTCCAGTTCTGGTATGCATAAATAAATAACTCTTCTTTTAAAAAAGTAGTCAGTTTAATGAAGAAACTTAAACAGATAATGGTCTAGATTATTACTTGGGAGGGCAAAGACAAATTTAGGTAAGAACACTGGTGCCATGAGAAGTGGGCTCTCAAAAATTAAAACAAAACAAAACAAAACCAGGCCTCCCCTGGTGGTGCAAGCAATTTGAGCACAACACTGTGTGGTGCTTAACCCTTTCCGCCACTAGGGAGGCCAGATAAATTTATTTTTAAGAGAAAACCTTTATTAGTAATGAGAAGGTAACCACAAAAGAAGTTTTAATTAATCAAGAAACTATAACAACTTTAAACATATATCTAGGGCCACCCTGGTGGTGCAGGGGTTAAAGTCTCAGTGCTATCAAACTATCACCAGCCACTGTGGCATGAGTTCACTCCCTGGCCAGGGAGCTAACCCACATGGCACAGCAGACCTTTCCTGTCTCGTCCACTGCTCCCCTCAGCAGTGTATTTCAGTCAGTCTGCCTGTTCTGTTGCCCCACTCTGTCTCTGGTGAATCCTCTCACCCCCACACCTCTGGCCTACATCCCAGTTCTTGTATGCATAAATAAAAAAAAA